AACAAGAAATTACGTTTATTGATTATGACGGATACTTGACATGCACAACATGTACCGATGTACAGTGGCGCTGTTTAGGACGGGTTCGTGTTAAAGAGCTTCTAACAAAGTAATCACTTCACATAATGTTCTCTCTCTTAAAATGTAAGCGAGTGTAAATGTCAGCATTATCATATATGTGTAAAGAATTGAAGTCTGTCATGTAAAAGAAGAGCTTATTGATGCAGTTAATCTATCTGACATTTTATTCCAACCGTTACTCCTGATAAGAAGCTGCCGTAAATATTTAGTTGGAACGTAGAGTTACAGTTAAACTAAGTTGAATGGTGCAACAGAAAAATATTTAGTAGTGCGTAAGTTGTAACTTAGTGCCCATTTACGTCAAAACTAGGATAAGTTGTAACTTCCGCACAGTTGGTGCAACCGGCCCCACAACTCAAAGCAGGGGCAAGAAACTACTACACAAAACAAAGACTGGGGAACAGAGGTATAAATACACAGACAGACAAGCTAAACAAGGTAACAAGGGGGAGTGGCTAATCAGAAACGCATGGGGAAACTAAACAACAAAATGGGGAACAGCTGACATGGAAAGACAGGGGAACACATGACACACAAGAATAAGATACAAAACCCACACGTGACCGGTGCTAGTTATAGCTCTTGCCCGACAGGTAGATCAGAGCTTCTACTCTAATACAGTAATCTATTTCAGAATATATTTTGTTTCAGGAATTCACAATTTTTGGTTTGTCTTCTAGAAAGGCTTCAGATAATAGGTGGATTGAGGAGTTATCACCATACATTACTCAAGTAAATGTTTACAACTCCATTTTGTGTATGTCTCCCTTATATAACACACCTGATTCAGATCCTCAGCTCGTTATACGAGCAGTGGGTCGCGAGGACTGGAGTTGAGAACCCCTGGTTTACAGGGAAATAATTATTCACAAAATGCAGTTTTAGAGATAATAGGGTTTATTGAATGAATGAGAAAATGCAATTTATGAAAGTGCAGTTATCCTCAAACACAAACGCCAGTGTTGCAAAAAATATGGCATTGGTGTATTCAAAGAATCACTCGTTCCCTCAGCTCTGATGTCAGCCCCTTCTGTATTCGCACGTTCAGGTAATGTCTGAAAAGGAGGCTCAATGTTTAGAGTCCTGTCTGGATGCTCTTCAGTGAAATTATCACAATGTTCCTCACAAATGTTATGGAGCACACAGCAGGTCCGTGCAATCCTCTTGCACAGCTCCAGCTTGCAGTCATTTCTTTTTAGGAGGCACCTCCATCTTCCTTTTAATCTGCCATAAGACATCTCCACAACCGATCGTGCACTGCTCAGCCGGTAATTGTAGGTGTGCTGTTCAGGGGTCAGTCTGCTAGTGTCGGAAAAGGGCTTCATGAGCCAATTCTGCATGGGGTATGCCGGATCACCGATCAGGTAATGTCCAACATCACAGCCAGAGATGGTCACTTGGTTTCCCCCATCACATAGGGCCTCTCACATTTAGCACTCTGGCATCATGCACACTCCCTGGATACCCAACACAAACATCCTAGAAAAGACCTTTGCCATCCACAACTGCTTGTAGAACAATAGAATGCCAGCCTTTACGATTAAAGTAGTCTCTTGGATAGTTCTCTCGTGCAATTACTGGAACGTGGCTGCCATCAATTGCACCCACACACTGCAGAACTCTCCAACGATAATTAAAGAAAGTGGACATTTCTAACAACTTCTCAGCATCCGGAAATCTTATGTGGACTGGAAGGAGCACCTTGATGACTGTGTTGCAGAATTCCTAAATACAGTGCTGAGGCCTACCCCAAAAAGATGGCTGATTGTCCTGTATTCACCATCCGTGGCCAGTTTCCAGATGGCAATTGCCACACGCTTTCTCCCTATGGCATGCTTGACCCGACTGCAGATGTACTCGAACGATTCTGGGGATACACGGAAATTCTGCATGAATTGCACCGGGGTGAAATCCGGAACAATTGTGTCCCACCAGTGGTCAGATCGTGGGTATGCCCACATTACAGGTGACCTCCGCCTTGCCTTCAGCTGCAAGATTGCCTGTAAATATAAAAAATATATCAGTTTAATTTATGGGCAATAGTGTATAGGTATTTTTCCTATCAAATATACAGTGCTGTATAAATACTATAACCATTTGGCAAGATATAAACAACACTTGTCCAGAAACACTTCCTGTTTCAGTTTGTAAATGGTTACTTTATTTCAAATGTAAAGAAAATATCTTAAAGATGTTTGTTTAACTTTTTGATTCAGTTGTATATGTTCTGTTGGTTGTAGTGCTTCTAGACGAGTGTGGTTTACATCTCACATAATGGTCTATAAAAACAGTTGAGCTGTAGCAGTGAAGCGTTTATTAATTCATATAAGCATCACTTAAAAGACAGGGCTACTTTATACTTTATTTATATTTTTTATCAGTCTTTTTAGGTTTATACATTTTCCAGACAAATTATTTTCATAGCCTTCTTGTCCAGCGAAAACCATGTATAAATCTAAATTGGGACATTTTTAACAAGCTACACATTACAGCTGCAGTAATACTAACGTTAATTTAAAAAAAAACAACAACAAAAAAACCTTATAGCCTTAAACACTGACAGTGGAGACATTTTCTGCAGTTATCTAGTTTTAGTTGTATTATTTTGCTCATAACTCAGTAACTCATACATACAAAGTTTCACAAAACGACATAGGAAAACGGTAAAAGTTATTCAACCAATGCTTAAGACATTTTTATTTAATTGTAATGTGATCTATTGTCAGTAAAGTCGATGCTAGGAGGTAAGCAACATGCTGAGCGGCTAAAATATAAATCTCAGGCTAAACTCGGCATCTTATTGTAAAAAAAAAAAAAATGTTATGTACATACCGTTACTCTCGCTTGTAAATCTCCGTCTGTACAAAGAACCTCGCGAACACGTTGGATCCGCCGTGTTTGGATGCCGATGTAGGTCCGCAAAATGCCATGAACATTGGTAAAGCAACGTCCGCCATTGTTGATGGTGTGTTTGTGTTTAATGTTGCTGGAAAAGATGACACAGTGAAGTAAGACCTGGCCCCGTGCTGGCTCTTTAGCCTGTGGAAAAGCAAACCGGTTCTTTGGAGGCTCATCAGTCGAACCAACTCCGAACCGATACTAGCTCAAGCCCTGAACCAGCACCTGGTTCTTGTTGGTGGAAAAGCGGGGTAGGCCTAAGTGTCGACTTTTTTGGTGCAAAAAAAAAGTTTCTCTGATCTTCTTGAAACTCTGGATTATGATAGAGGGCCATGAGACTTAGACCTGAGTGCAAAAATGGAGGCTCTAGACCCTTCCAGAGCTGAGATATTGAGATCCCACGTAGCATTTATGCCATTATAAAAATAGTGGGTTTGTGGGATCTCAATATCTCAGCTCTGGAAGGGTCTAGAGCCTCCATTTTTGCACTCAGGTCTAAGTCTCATGGCCCTCTATCAGAGTTTCAAGCATCTCAGCTCTGCTTTACCATTGAGCTTCTTTCAACTTTCAGATTGACGCTCCTTGCAGCTGAGAGAAGCCAGCTTCCATTGAAAATGAAACACTTCTGGCCGCTTTGGAAGCTAAATTTGCAAGCTGTCAACATGGCCGCCACGTCCCAGAATGCAACGCGGCGCCCAAGCCCTATTCGGGTGGAGAGCTAGCCTACGCAGTGCTGTTTTTTTCTTCTTTTTTGAATTATTGTCTTTATTCTGAAACTTTTAAGTGAAACGAAACCACTTTTTGGTGATTTGAAAACTTTCAAAACAAGTCTCAGTGATTATTTACCCCCTAGAAACATCTTTACTTTGTTGTAGTTTAGATATTAATAAGCAAACGGCCAGTGAAACCCAAACCCAGGACTAAACCGCCATGTTGTAGAATGATTTAGAGGTTACAGCGGTATAAAAACACGATTTATAAATGAACCCCTCGTATTCAAATCGTCTCGTTCTGCTGACATTTGTTATGACGCTTCAAAAACGTTACAATGCTCATGATAATTAGTTCAAATAAGCAATACACCAGCTAATTAAACTTCAACAGCGATATCATAGAAATATACAGAGCTACCACAAAAACACAAGGTCAAGGCGCGTAAGGTCTAGAGTATGAACAACTCCTCGTGTAAAAAGCGAATTGAGGCTGTTTGAAAGGTCAGATACAAAAGCTTGCTTTTTTTTTACTCTAATTAAACAACCAAGATATGGTAGTGGTCTTAAAATGTTAAATTACAATCTCAGTGGGATTTCAAGTAAACATTTTAGGTAAAAGGGGTTTGGCTGACAAAAAAAAAAGTTTGTGAATCTTAGTTTGTGCCAGTGCAGTGTAAACACAGTCGGGTCAGTGAATTGAGGTCAGGAGTCGGTTCAGTTGGAATTCCACTTTGTTTAATTCTTACAGAAATCTGCAACAGTGTATTTCTGATGATTACCAATGTGCAAAATATAAACCCATGGAATTTACTCTTTCTGGAAAAAAAAAAAATTCACATTCATGGATTGGCGTTAATGCAAAAGCTGTCGCACCGGTGACACTGAAAGCGCTCTAGCAGATGTCATCAGCTTTAGGAATTAACGCCCATCATCACGGCCCTAAACTCTCAGGAGCTTCACGTCATTATAGCATCAGCTGGCGAGGTTATAGTTCACCGCAAACAATTCTCACTCGCTTCACTTTTTCATTTAACTGTTATCCATAGAACAGTGATCACATCCATCAAGCTCCAAAAAAAAGACCAAGCAATACAATAAAACTTGCAGTCGATGCGACCTGTCATTATATGGAAAAGAGTTGCATGAAGAGTCTCCGAATTCTGAGGGTGAGTAAATGTATTATCAGCTGATAAGATCGGATGATTGAGGGAATTATCAGTATTAACCTCCAAAATAAAAAATAAAAAAAGTGGGAAGGCAAGCTAAAGAGATTTTGATTGTGTTTTGTGCGTCATTTCTGAAATGTGTGTGTGTGGAAGGGGCTTCATCTTCAGTGCAAAGGCAGCTCACACCCATCAACACTGATTATCCTGTGGTGTATCAATTGTCAGGATTGGACATACAATTCAAACAAAAACTTAATAAATAAGTGTCGAGAGCGCAAAAACAAAAAAAACAAAAACAACATCTGGGGCCCTAATGCAGCATATCACATACATCTCTCTCCACATACAACTGTTCAGCATCACTAGAAGGACAAAAATAAGAAATACATTAAAAAGAAACGCCCCCAAATGGCTACAACTGGGGAAAACAACACAACTTATATTTGGTGACTAATTTAGTGAGCCACTATTCAAGAATTCTATACAATTTCTCATCTTAAATGCTATACGTCTCATTCTTATATCATTCTAATATATTATCTCATTTGTCTCGCATGTATGTTACAAAAAAAAAAAAAAAGCATTAGAGAGAAGGTCTCGTGTCTAAACCAGCCGGCGTCCACACAGCAGATCAGAGACAAGAGCACCCTCTAGTGGCCCGCGCTGACATCACTTCCCGTCACTATCCAGTCAACATCACAGAGAAGGTGAAGGATTTCTATTTGAGAAAGTACTAACCTAGAATCTGGAAATTTGGTGCATTCAGACCCTAGAAAGTTTGAATGCTGTGTGGCACCCAGAATCACTTGTGCAACCCCAAAAAGAAAGCAAAAGAGCAGGTTCCCGCAAAAACGGAGATGAGAACTCAAAAACAAAGCTAGGATCTCGCGGACTCGTCCCAGAAGCACCTTTCACCCTGATGATCTGCTCTTAGTGAGATGACGAGGGAGGAAACCCTATTCTCGCACGCCGTCCGCTGGTTGGTGAAAACCTTCCCTCTATGCAGCAGGTACAGGATAAGTTTCATCGCAAATGAAGACGAGCTCTCAATCGTAACCTGTCTCCGCAAAAAGTTCTCTGCAAAAGTGCTAAGCCTCCTCCCTGGACGACTCTGTGCGTTCCGCATCGTTCCATATATACACGATTCCCTTTCGGGTGGGAAAGAAGCGCCTTCGCCAAGTTCGCCCCCACAAAGCAGTCTCTGGAGCTTCTACATACACATATCCTCCTGTGGGTCCGTGTGCAGGCGCTCGGATGAAGGATCAGTTGGAGCTGGCCGTGATGGGTTTGTCCAGCTCCATCTCCAGAGCCGACGCGGGAACCTGCAGGTTGCTGAAACACGACCTACACACACGACTGGGCTCGAACAACTGCTGGCTTGGCACCGGGATCTTCTGATCGCAACAGCTGGCACAGAACACATTCCCACAATTCCTGCAGGGGGCGGTAGAGGTCGGGAAAGTAGAGAGAGAGACAGAGGGGGGAAAAAAGAATAGAATTAGGACCTTTATAAATCACTTTTTAAGCTATTACTACCTACAATATACATGTTTTTTTCTTTAAGAGAGGATTTGAATGCATTAGAACTGCACTACATTTGAAAAATAAATAAAAGGTAACACTTTACTTGAAGGGGTGTGCATAAGACTGACATGACACCTTCATAACCATGACATGAAGTAGGGTTTATGCATGTTTGTGACAACTGTCATTATGTCTTTCGCTCAATAATGACATTTTGAATGGAAATATTGTTATGACATCTTGACATAAACCATAGCATCATAACCTGTCAGTGTCTTTGTTAAACAAGTTAAACTGTCATGTGGTTGGCTTTGATATTGGCTGTCATGAGGTATTTTAACTGTCATGAATATGTTTCGTGACCTCTAATTGTATTTGAATTTACTAATTGAATTTGTCATTAAAAAGTTATAATGACTTCACGACAGCCAATGTCAAAACCAACCACCTGACAGTTTAAAGGGTTAGTTCACCCAAAAATGAAAATTAAGTCATTAATTACTCACCCCCATGCTGTACCAACCCCGTAAGACCTTCGTTCGTCTTCGGAACAGAAATGAAGATATTTTTGATTAAATTTGAGAGCTGTCTCACTACCACATTGGCTCCTAAGGGACTGCCTCTTGACGGCCCAGAAAGTCAATGAAGAAAATGTTTAAATATCCCAAGTGACTACCGTGGCTCAACTATATGTTTATCAAGCGACGAGAATACTTTTTGTGCGAAAAAACAAAAAAAATAACGAGTTTATTCGACTATTCCTTTTCTTCCTTGTAGGCCAGAAACGAGACTTCCTTAGATTTCCACGACGCATGCGCGAGATTTGCGATCTCCTTACACTACTTCAGTTCAGTTCTCGCGCATGCGTCGTGGAAATCTAAGGAAGTCTCGTTTCTGGCCTACAAGGAAGAAAAGGAATAGTCGAATAAACTCGTTATTTTTTTTGTTTTTTCGCACAAAAAGTATTCTCGTCGACAATGATTTCTTCATTGACTTTCTGGGCCGTCAAGAGGCAGTCCCTTAGGAGCCAATGTGGTAGTTATACAGCTCTCAAATTTAATCAAAAATATCTTCATTTGTGTTCCGAAGACGAACAATTAGTCTTACGGGGTTGGTACAGCATGGGGGTGAGTAATTAATGACTTAATTTTCATTTTTGGGTGAACTAACCCTTTAATGTAATGTTAACCAATAAAGCTAGGTGCTTTCGCAAGTTTGATAATTAATTCAGGTTGTGTTGTCTTAATAATGTCAAGTTTTCATGACAAAGACACTGACAGGTTATGACGTATTGGTTTATGTCAAGGTGTCATAACAAAGACATCTCCAACAATGTCATATTTGCATTAAAAATGTCGTAACTGAGCGAATGACACTTAATGACAGTTGTCACAAACATGCATAAAACTATCTTCATATTCATAACATATGTCATGATTATGAAGGTGTCATGCTAGTCTTAATTTAATAAAGCTCCTCAAATACATACTGACTGATAGCCCTAATTTAAACACATTTGATTTTAATAGTAATATTGTACTATATATATATATAGTACAATATTACTAGTAAAATCAAATGTATATCAAATATATACATATATTTAAAAGTTCTCAATCATGTCCTGAACATGAGACGACAGTGTTAAAGTGTTAAGGGTGGGGGGGTTTCTTCAGGTCTGGGCAAAATGAAGCCCAGACACATGCAGATTTACTGCAAGAAAACATCAAATTACTGTAATCATAAAGGAGTGAGAAGAGGTGCATCATCATCATCAGCGCCACACACTGTGTGTTATAGAGAATCATGCAGCCCTTCATGTGTACCATCATACTCAAACACACATGCACAACTGCATGGGCAGAGAACATCAGAGGAGAGGCTTCACATAAAATCAATCCATGAATCTCCATGACTTCCAGTATCACTGAAAACAGGACTTTCAGGCTCTAATGAAGTAAGTCTATAGAAATACTGCAGGTATATTCATAAATCATGGTACTGGCACCAGGAACAGAAGTACATTAACTACCTCATTTACATGCCAAAGCCTGTGCAGTTGCAGTGTTCACTCATTTTACATGCAAAGAGACTATATGTTATAGTCTTAAGAAGTCTAAAAACATTGAGGGTGGAAAATGCTGGTTATAGAAAAACTGAATTATGGCTGGATTTGGTGCGGGAAAACCTTTACTAACATTAGAAAGGGATTTCAAGTGTCCATATTTGACACTTTTACAGCATTTTATTTAAAAGATTAGATTTATTTACACTACTGGTCTGGAAAGGAGTGTCTTCTGCTCACCGAGGCTGCATTTATTTGATCTAAAGTAAAAACAGATAAAGCAAAAACAGTAATTTTGTGAAATATTATTACAGTTTTAAAATAACTGATTCCTGTGTGAATATATTTTAAAATGTTATTTATTCCTGTGATCAAAGCTGAATTTTCAGCATCATTACTCCAGCCTTTAGTCACGTGATCCTTCAGAAATCATTCTAATATGATGAACTACAATCCTGCTGCTAGGGAGACTTTCATTAATAGAAAGGTCAAAAGAGCATTTCATTTTATATATATATTTCTTTACTGGTTAATTTTATGCATTTCTAAAAAAAAATAAATAAATAAATAAAAAAATGAAAAGGCAAAACTCCTCTGTTCTCTCTTAGACTGGCTCTCTGGATCCTGTGAAATTACTACGGTACAGTTCCTCCCTGTACATTTCCGCTTAAAACAATAACAGAGACAGTTCAACCCTATGAAGAGATGGAGGAGGAGAGGAGGGTTAGGTCACTCTGAAGCGATGCAGGGTTAACAGGACGTACAAGAGCCCGAGAATGACAGAGAGAGAGAGGACAATTCTCACCAAACCTCTTCCATACGCTCCTTGCCTCTGTGGTACAGGATGAGAAATGAACTTCAAATCCTAGTAGTGTAAAACCTAGTGAGATTTCTAACTAGAATGCATTTGTACGAATCACTGGCCTGACACACAATTAAGGCTGTACCTTTGTTTTTAGGCCAAATCTAAGGATACTTTAACAGAATCCCAGAATGCATTGTGGCAAAAAATCTTTCAAAATGGCAGGTGAAAGAAAAATAAAAGACTGCAAATAATATTTCATGCATTGCTGAAAATAACTCATGATGCACTCAAATATTGGGTGATAGTCCATTTTAAAGGGATAGTTCACTTTTAATTTTTTTTTTATAGGCCATCAATGTGTACTTACATTTGCGAGTCATTAAGTCATGTTTAATTTGGACTTCTCTGTGCATGCTCTTTGAGGTGGTGACCATAGACCTCCATTATATGACTGATAGACAAGAACGGTTTGACCTAAAAATATCAAAATTGAAACTACTGCGGAAACAAAGACACCTACATCTTGGATGCCCTTGAGGTAAGATAAAACATACCAAAAATTAATTTCAAAGTGAACTATCCCTTTAATTACTTGGAACTCTCCTACAATAAATTGAAGTATTTGTACATTTGTTTATGATGTTTTTCTCTTTTGCAATCTATCATGCACTTCACTATTTGCATGTTGCTGGATAGGTTGAGTGTTTCGAATCATTCACTTGTTATGAGCTTCCATTTCAGTTAGAAAGCTGCCTGTGTAGACAGTAGGCTTTCAGTAGGAGCTTTCACAACTTAAAACTGAAACTATGCATGATATTTGCACAACTTCATATTGCGGTTTACTCATCGGGCAGTTTGTACTAGTCCTCACAGTTGGGCAGCTTGTTTAATCTGCTGTGTTTACAAGTGCTGCTGTAATGAGTTAGGAGTCATGAAACATTTCACCAAACATTTGTGTTTACTGGACGACCAGAGGAATTTTAGAGAGGAAAAAACAAGGTTTTCGAGAGACGTCAAGAAGAAAGTGGCTCAACACTAATGCATCTGACCCTAAAAAAGGTACATGTACATGAGCCAGAAAAGAAATAGTAACAGAAAGAAGACTGTAGAGATGTGTTCTTTGTGTGAGGGGTTTGAGATGCTGTCGAACCTGCAGTGGTGCTTTCTAGTGGCCAGCCAGAACCCTCTCTCACAGCCGTAGCACTGAGCAGCCAGATGGTCCGGGTACCACCGGGTCACCTGCAACAAATACTGAGCTCTAAATAAAGGGACCAACTGCCTAATAAAGACATAAAACATTACATAAAATGGCATTCACAATGCATTAAAGTAAAGTGATGCATTTTCTTCGTTAGACTAACATGCAATGAGGAATCAGTTTTAATAAGTAAATTAGAACAAATTTAATATCATCATTTCCTTAAAGTCAGCAGAAATATTATTATCATAAACTCTAACCTCTCAGATAATTATTTACATACACTACTGTTCAAAAGTTTGGAGTAAGTAAGCTTTTTTCATTCAGCAAGGATGCATTAAACTGATCAAAAGTGACAGTAAAGACAGTGTAATGTTACAAGAGAATTTTAAATGCTGTTCTTTTGAAATTATTATTAAATCAAATAATCCTCAAAATATTGCACAAAATTATATTGATAATAATAATGTTTCTTGAGCAGCAATTCAGCATATAGAATGAAGGATCATGTGACAATGAAGACTGGAGTAATGATACTGAAAATTCAGCTTTGATCACAGGAATAAATTACATTTTGAACAATATGCAGTTTTTTTCTAAAACAAAATTCCTATTTTTACTGTATTTTTGATAAAATTAATGAAGCCTTGGTGAGCAGAAGAGACTACTTTCGAAAACATTGAAAAAACTTACCGACCTTATATTCTTTCTCCATACACCGGTGCAACAAATCCAAAGTCTTTCTAGTACAATAACAGTCATATAAACAAAACAAAGATTAAAGGTAGGGTAGGCAATGTTTTTCATAAACACTTTTTGTTATACTGGTTGAAACTCTCTTCACATCCTGATAGCAATCAAAGATAGAAGTGGTCTAAATATTAAAAAAATGTACATATATTTTCTGTGGAAGTCTCAGGACCAAAACAATGTTAGTCCAGTGAGTCTTTGCATTCGGTTTTAATGCAATGATACCATCTGCCCGTCAACCTATGTATTTGCATACCTCCACACACCTCACACGTCATTAGCGCGGCTATGCAATGAGCTTAGTTGAGTTCACGCCAGGTCGTAACTGTAAACGAGATGGCAGCCTGTAACATTCTTTTCTGAGCTAATCAGATTCGGATTTGTGTGTTTGTATGACAATACTATGGCGAAATTAATCAAAAGCAGTCAGGTGGTGCAAGTCAGAGCTTTGCAAGTTGTTTAGGTTTATTATTATTATTGTAATGTTTTGTGCTTTGAGACATGAGGTAATTTAACGTGTAACACTATATATGTGTTATATGTGATGTGATCTGGGAAAACCCACCACATTTGACATATCACAGGTTTTGAGACCCTATTAAAGCTGAGCTCAAACCCTTTCCAAATCTGTTTTATTTCTTTTATCGTTTTTCTTTGGTTTAATTAATGGTCTTAATGGTTTAATTAACGGTCACATCCTGTTAGCGGGGCAACTGCACTCTTTATTTATTGCCTTTTTTCATATCACATATTTTAGTAATCATCATAGATTAGGTATCATTCTAGAGCTTACAAACTCAAAATTCATTCTGTGAAACCCGTTTTGAAATTGGACGATTGAGAGGAAGATCTTTTAAGCGAGCAGCTTCAAACTCTGTTGTTCTCTTGTGCTCCGCATCACACCACACGATAACGCTGGATAAAAATAAATAGATAAAAACTTGTGTGCTGTTGTAGTTCACTCAGGATTGGACTTTATTCTGTTATGTGGTTTATTTTGACAGGTGAACTGTCTTTGTAGTGTTAAGAGAAGGAGAGCTAAATGGGAGATATTGTTTTTTGCCCCTCCGCTCCGCCGTACATGTTCTTAAAGAGAAACACAGTCTTTTTCAGCTGGACATTATAAATCACTATTTTTCAGAACTAATTTTGCCAAGATATATTCAGAGATGATAAACAAGATGTTATAGAATAATAATAATTTAATAATAACCCAATTTTGCTGCACATGGTTGAGGAGATCCCCCCCTTCCAATGTGAAGCGCTTTGAGGTCCCAGAAAAAGCGCTATATAAATGTAACAAATTATTATTATGTGTTTTAGAGGAGGCGTAGCTTTTGAGAGTGTTTTGAAGGGAGGGTGGGACCTTATGCTTTCAAAGCTAGCTCGCTATTGCTAGCCTCTATGAAATTGCCTACCCTACCTTTAAAATGAACACAGTCAACCTAGTTTAATTCTTTACCTCAGTGTCCTGCTTGTCCACCTGCTCCCAGCTGGCCTCAGAAAAGAGTTCAGTGCTGCAGCGGGACAGACAGTTGTGCTCCAGGTTGAAGTCGGAGTCTGTGATTGAGGTCTGACAAGAGAGAGATGGGGAAAAACGTCTCTTAAAGGGGACATATCATGCAAAATCCACTTTTTTTAGCCCTTAAATGCATTTTGTTGTATATTTGGAGTGTTTATAAGTACAGAAAAGATGAAATTATTCTCTTCAGGTGATGCGTTTATATCTTTATATTCTGTTTGTCATATTTTTCAACCTGTTCAGATTTTTCTGTTCTCTATGACGTTTTTTGAACTACAACGTCACCGTATTTGCAGCGTAACTGCCAAATAAGGACATTGACTACCGGCCCAACACTTCGAGCAATCCTCCATTATTATTTCTCGCTCCGATTTTGTAGTCCGAGCTCAATGATGCAGAAGTTACGAGAGGGCAAGTCAAAATGTTCGGTTTTTGGACCTAAAGCACTTCAAGGATTCCCACTTCAACAACCTCCGCCACTATAAAGAAGGGTTTGCCGATCGACTTCGTCTGAATGAGAGGTAAACTCCTTCTATCTTTGGAGACGACGAACAGAGCATTTCGATAAGCTGTAAATATCGTTAATAAAAATAAAGTACTTTACTTTCTTAAAACACATGGTGGTCATGGTTTAGCAGTACCTTTGTCTTTCTTTGTTTTTGTTTTGAAGTAACGTTACACGTCTGCAGTATTATTGTTCTTGAGTTTCATCAATGGTCATTTAGCTGCTGTGTTTTCATAATACAGGTGGTAAGATTAGACCGTAGTCATTTATCTTGTAAGTGTGCTTGTTTTAACAAGAGAAATAGTCGACTTTCACTAATAACACAAAACAGTTAACGTTAACTCACATACCAATAGGTTGGTCTGCAGGTTCGTCGTCGTCTTTATCGACTCGCTCGCTCTGGCTCGAATATGTAAGGCTTGATGGACAAGTCTTCTGTTGTTGACATTTTTTTAATGTGTGAATAAAAATGTTCTTTGAAGGTATCATATATAATCGTACATCTCTAATCAAACAACAATAATGGCCGAACGTGGGGAGTTGAACTGACCGTGAACTCGACTATGACGGATCTCCTTTTTATTTAAAGGGGCCGCTTTGAAACGAGTCGCTCAAAGACGCACATCAGAAAAGGGGCTTGTGAAGCTATAATAATGAGGAATTCAGACCCAAGCATTGCAGTTATGTTTTATATAGACCACAACGGTATGATTTTAATGTAAAAATGAATGATTTAAAAGCATGATATGTACCCTTTAAGATAAACCTTCAAACGTGGCTGAAAAACACAAACCCAAACCACGTGAGGGTCATTAAACACTAGTGTGCACGGCTCACCACTTCATCTCCCATGTCTCCGTTAAGTCGCAGCATCCCAGCAGCCTGATGGCTCTCCAGACGGCTCCAGAGCTCCTGTACCTGCCTCTTCAGAGCGTCCACCTCCAGCTGGTGACCCGCTTCGATCTGCCGCAGCCTTTGCTGCACGGCGTCCGTGTGCAGGGTCAACCCGTCATCGTCGAGATGGTTTCGGGCTGAAGGGGGCTCTGGAGGGCTGAAGCTCGGCCGGCCCAGAAACCCTAAGTGCAGGCAGCGATGGTGGGAGCAGGCGCCCCGTGCGTGAAGGGTCAGCGAGCCACAGCTGGCGAGTGACACCTGTCGGCTTAGCGTGGCCCGTTCCCCGTTTGTGCGTGGCGTCGGGGGCTCGGGGTCGGGGGAGTCTCCGTTATACACAGAGTGGAGGAGGTCAGTGGAGGGCGGAAAGGCACTGAGAGACGGCCGTTTAGGGGTGTTGTTTAAAGTCCTGGGAGCGGCTGATGTGCGGAGACCCTGTTTGAGGCACGACGATTCAGCGAGGGCTTTGAGAGGAGGCGGAATAATTAAAGGTGCCAGACTCTCCTGCACAACGCCCAAGTCCTCCGTGAGCGTCTCCGTGGAGCTCTCCAAAAGAGAAAGACGTTGCTCGAGGACTTCTCGTCCTGGTGGTGTCTCGACTCCATGGCCGTTACTCAGAGTCCTGAGGCCATTGGGAGGGAAATTAGTCGTGCTACAAGGGTTGTGTTCTTGTATCATGCATGTCTCGATGGCTGCTTTCACAGAGTCTTGGCTTCCCGAGGTATCCTGGCTAAGAGCGGAAGACGCTTCAGAATTACCATCTTCTGAACAATGTCCATTGACACTTCCATCTCCAAGGCTTTTAGCTTTGCTCTCCTGAGCATCATCAACAGCACTGTTGCTCTCTTCTGAATGTGCAATATCATCACTCTTGATGATATCATCACCCTTAGTGTGGTCTGTCTTTGCGTCTCTGCGGCTATCTGATGCAGACTCGTCTTTTGTAGCTTCCTGGAGGATGTTCTCCATTTGGCCCATAGCCACACCCACTGTCAGCTCTGCCTCATCAACCCCCTCCATCATTGGCAATCTGACATCCTCAGGCCCCTCCCCATTCTCTGTTCCCCCACTGGGCAATGTTCCCATAATCCCCACCACGGTCTGTCCGTTGACCCTCTCGTCTGGATCTGGAGATGCAGCACCTTCAGCCCCTGTCCCAATGTTGAGCTCCAGAGATCTGCGATGGTCCTGCCATTTCTCATTCAAACTGGGGTCGCTGGAACGTCGATTGGAGGTCAGAGGGTTTCCAACTTCACAAGCGCTGGGCAAGTTTTCAAACGAGCGGGTTTTAGGACGCCTGTGGGCACAAAACAAAACGAAAACGAGCTCATCAAGTCAACGTGAAACACCATCCACATATAGCATAGTAAGGTTGGATATACTTATTTTAGTACATGTACTATATAGCAGAAAACTGCTTGATTGTTATAAAATGTAAACTATTATAGACCAGCAATATATTCAAAGTTGTATATATAATACATCCTACTTGACCTGCATGCATATAGTATATTCATGTAAAGCAATATGTACTATATAGCAAATCTCAGCTTCATGATTGTTTATATCGTTGCAAAAATGTAAACTGTATTATCGCACTGCTCTCTCTCTCTCTCTATATATATATATATATATATATATATATTAATTTTGGATATATATTATAGCCGACTTTATCTGCATAATACCGTACACTCGCATAAGCTGATGTATACTATATAGCAAATCTCAACTGCTTGATTGCTTGTATCATTGCAAAATTTATTTATGTTATCACCCAGCTCTAATTTGCCAAATGCAACTGTAAGGCTTAGAGATATTATAAACATTAACTGTAACTGAAAGCTGTATAAATAAATTTGACTTGATGTGGTTACATCTCATTTTATTTCTGTAATGTGAAGTACACTACCAGTCAAAAGTTTTAGATCAGTAAGATTTTTTATGTTTTTAAATGAAGTCTCTTCTGCTCACCAAGGCTGCTTTATTTGATGGAGAAAAAAAAATGACAGAGTAATATAGTGAAATATTATGACAATTTAAAATGACTGTTTTCTATTTTAATTGAAATTAAATTAATTTTAATTTCCTTGATGAATAAAAGTATTTTCTAATTTCTTTCCCCCAAAAATAAAAAATAAATTCTCACTGACCCCAAACTTTTGAATGGTAGTGATTAATGTTACAAAAGCTTTCCATTTCAGATCAATTTTGTTCTTTTGAACTTTCTATTCATCAAAGAATCCTGAAATAAAAATGTAAAAAACTGTTTTCAACATGGATAATAATCATAAATGTTTCTTCAGCATCATATTATAATAATTTCTTTAGGATCATGTGACACTGAAGACTGGAGTAATGATGCTGTAAATTCAGCTTTGATCACAGGAATAAATTACACTTCACCATATATTCACATAGAAAACCGCTGTTTTAAATTATAATAATATTTCACAATATTACTGTTTTTTTTTTTGTGTGTTTTTTTATCAAATAATCGCAGCCTTGGTGAGCAGAAGAGACTTCTTTTAAAAACATAAAAAATATCTTACCTATCTAAAACTTTTGATCGGTAGTGTATTTCAGTGTAAAGCATTTTGGTATCAGTTAACATAATTACCTGCCCAGGGGCTGGTCCTCAGGGTTGGCACCAGGTGCGGGGTATGGGGCACAGGAGTCATCTGAAGGGGTTGTGGGTGAAGAGCTGGGTAGATAAACTGCTGTCCATAACAAGAGATTGCGTACGTGACACACAGGATGAAGCACCTAAAAGAAACAGAATAGATATCATTAAAATTTATGCGTGATGTTATGATCAAGCTCAGCATGAGTTCTGGCAGGTCACGTCAGTCATGCTCGCATCTGCTGACTCTCGGCTGACCCACGTCTATCTATAAGAATACGACGCCTATCACAGCAGCGTTGCTCAGAAGCTAATTACCCTCATCCATCCAGAGTTCCTCCTCTTGTCCACAAATCAGACTGTCATTTATCTTGCTTTATGTTGTCACACTAAATTAATGTCATGCTGACATAATTATTATTAAATACATTTTTATTGGTACTGTTGCACTCCCTGCTCTTATCCATGCTAGGCTGGATGGATGGGCAGGGAAATCTTGCCCAGAACAGAACCACACCACCAATCCAAACTGTATGCTATTTGTTAATCATCTTTGACAATAGTGCATTTTAAAATGGATGAATCTCGCATAGAAATATCCAGGTCCTATTTCACACCAAAAAAAAATCAAAAGAAAAGAAAACATATTTTGCTAAAATAATGTGTTATGTACTATGACCCAAGTGAAATTCACCTGATGTTTTTAGTTCAATTGATCCAATCCAAGCAGAAATGAAAGAGAAAAGGCAACTGTCTTTTATCAACTGTAACTAACCACTGACATTAAAAGTTTGAGGTACAAAAGCTAAAATTGTTGTTAAAGGCCATTTACATTTTACATTTATGCATTTTGGCAGACGCTTTTATCTAAAGCGACTTACTTTGCATTGCAAGCTACACATTTACATTCTCATCAGTTCTTGCTTTCCCTGTGAATCGAACCTTGGCGTTGCAAGCGCCAACGCTCTACTATTTGAGCTACAGGAAAGCATTTATATAAAAATTGTTTGTCATTATCACTTTGACCCATGAACAGTGTTGTTATTGTTAACTAAAAAATTACATTAACTGAAATAAATAAAATAATCAGTGAATGAATAAAAAAAAATACTTCTAATTTTTATTTAGTGTAATTTGAAGAAGTACTTAAATAATTAAAAGTGAAATACAATACAAAAAAGTAAATGGAAATATATATATATATATATATATATATAAATACTAAAAAGTCAGGAAACTGTTTTTGTTGGGGCAGTGTGAACCATTCCTAAGAAACAGGAAATGAAAGTAAGCGACAGCTCCGGGTCTCTTGAGTATTTGAGAGGAATGCAATCATGCGTTCTGAAGCCAGTAAACGCCTCCCTTCATGTTTTCTCACTACACAAAGGTCAAAATAACCTATTACAAAACAGAGCTATGAATTATTAGGTAAAGAGGGCTGTTAAGAAGGAAAAAAAGAAGGTAAAAAAACTTGCTATGAATTGAATCAGTGGAGTTTTCATAATATTTATTATATTTGTACCCACTTTGCTTAACAGAAGTCTGAATTTCAGAGCAAACATTCCCTTTATTAAATAAAAGTTGTATAAAATAAATCTTTAACATTTCAGCATTTCTTCAACTTCTCTAATTATAGACGTTTATAATGTTACTAAAGTTTACTATTTAAAATATTACATATTAAATTAGAAAAAATGTATAACTGTTTTTAACATTGTAAACAGTTGATCGTGTGAATGAATGACGCAGAAAATTTAGCTTTGCATCACAGAAATTAATTAAATTTTACAATATATTCAAATAGAAAACAGTTACTTTATACTGTAATAACATTTTCACAATATTATTGTTTTTATTGTATTTTTGATGAAATAAATGCAGCCTTGATGAGCAGAAGAGACTAAATCTTCGTGACAGCAAACTTCTGAAAGTAAGTGTATGTGGGAAGCTGACATGTCCAGTGATGAGACATGCTATACTCCATATGAAACAAATTTAAATTAAACAAATTCATTTAGAGATTTGAGCAACTACATGGAATATTCGCACTTTAAAAATGTACTTGTCACACCGCAAGACTATTTAAAAACAAGTAAAGTCATCAAAATCTATTATATCTGCTCTTTAGATTTTGGCATCAACCATTGAAAACCTCGTATCAGTCGACCACTACACAAGAGATGAGCAAATGTTTATAAAAGAGTCATGAGTAAAAGAGAGAAGAAGAGGTGACGTACGGTTTCTGAATGAGAGGAGTACAGCATGTTTCCGAAGGAGCGGTTGGCAGCTCTGAGGAGAGACCAAACTGAGCAGGTTCTTTCCTGGATGTGTCTATCTTCTCTCTCCTTCCCACAGTTACACAGGAACGTCCCGAACAGACACGAGTATGTGTGCTGCACAAGCTTCACCTGAACACACAAAGCCGAAATAATTCAGAGCTAGTTTAACAAATAGTTAAATCAAAGTACAAGAAACATTAAGGTTTGCAGCAACTTTGACCCACCAGAAAGGCTTCGTTGAACTCAAAGGAACATGGGAATTGTCTTTGGAGCTGGTGCACACAGTCTAACCACTGCAGGAAGACAGGACATCTCTCGTTTAAGTCTTCCGCGTTCTCTCCGTGACCACAGCGGTCTGCGAACTTGTGCCCGAAGTCCAACCACTCGGTCTCAACCAGCACCTGAAAACCCTAAAGTGGACAGGAGAGTTGCTTGCGTATTATATGATATCAAGAGATATCAACAGTAATGAGTCCAAATTAGGGCTGTCAAACGATTAATCGCATCCAAAATAAAAGTTTGTGTTAACATAATATATGTGTGTGCACTGTGTATAATTATTTTATATATTTATATATATATATATATATAAATACACACACATGCTTGTATAAATTTAAGAAATATTTTCATGTATATAGATTTATATATAATTTATATTATATATAAATATAAATATTTTACATATAAATAATATTTTTTTCTTAAATATACATGCATGTTTGTGTATTTATATACACGACCGGTCAAAAGTTTTAGATCAGTAAGATTTTTTATATTTTTAAATGAAGTCTCTTCCGCTCACCAAGGCTGCTTTATTTGATGAAAAAAAAAATGACAAACAGTAATATTGTGAAATATTATGACAATTTAAAATGACTGTTTTCTAATTTAATATATTTTAAATTGTAATTTGAAAGCTGAATTTTCAACATCATTACTGTTGCTGATTACACATCAGTTTTCAGTGTCACATGATCCTTCAGAAATCATTCTAATATGCTGAATTTATGCTCAAAAAACATAAATTATTATTTTCAATGTTGAAAACAGTCGTGTACCATTTTCCCCCCAAAATTCTATGATGAATAGAAAGTTCAAAAGAACAGCATTTATTTAAAATATAATCTTTTCTAACATTATAAATGTCTTTTCTGTAACTTTTGATCAATTTAAAGTCCCCGTGAACCGGAAGTTGCAAACGATTTTTCTCCAGTGCTGTGACGTATTTCCAAGTGAAACGGAATATTGAACAGAGGGCAGGGTTTTACTCTAGCGCTCCTCCTCTCCATCTCTCGCTCATAGCAAACTAACGGTTTGAGGGGAGTGGTTAAACGTTTCCCCACCCAAACTGTGAAACCTACGTCATCAACCGTTCCAGACCGGAAGTAACTTTTCAGATTTTGATTAAAGATTACCAAGGTAAAACATTTTTTTAATATATTTTTACTTGCACGGATTAATTGTTCACCACAAGACTAGTAATATGCGCTAGCAAAGTAAATAGGTTCAATTTTGATTTCACGGGGACTTTAACTCATCCTTGATGAATAAAAGTATTTTCTAATTTCTTTCCCCCAAATTTTTTTTGAATGGTAGTGATTAAATGTTACAAAAGCTTTCCATTTCAGATCAATTCTGTTCTTTTGAACTTTCTATTCATCAAAGAATCCTGAAATAAAAATTTAAAAAAATGTTTTCAACATGGATAATATTTATAAATGTTTCTTGAGCATCATATTATAATAATTTCTGTAGGATCATGTGACACTGAAGACTGGAGTAATGATGCTGTAAATTCAGCTTTGATCACAGGAATAAATTACACTTCACCATATATTCACATAGAAAACCGCTGTTTTAAATTGTAATAATATTTCACAATATTGCTGTTTTTTTTTGTTTTGTTTTTTTTATCAAATAAATGCAGCCTTGGTGAGCAGACGAGACTTATTTTAAAAACATAAAAATTCTTACCGATCTAAAACGTTTGACCAGTAGTGTATATACAAAATAATTTTACACAGTGCACCCACAAATATTATGTAAACACAAACTTTTATTTTGGATCCGATTAATCGCGATTAATCATTTGACAGCCCTAGTCCATATGAGCACAAATCACATTTGGAATTCTGGGACCGGATTCACAAAACATTCTTAGGAATAAAATTATTCTTAACTGCTATTTTCTTCTTATTTTCTAACTTAGAGAAACTAACTTATTTTCTAACAGAGAAAAGATAAGAATATTTTGTATTCCCAAAACTTCTCTTAATAAGTATTCATATTCCTGAAAAGAATGTTCTTAAAAATCTTTGCAAATAACTTTTTCAAGTTAGGACGACCCCCAACCTGTCTTTAATAAGTAAATATAAGATATGTAATGAATTTATTGGGTTCTTTCAAATAATATGCATTACATTTACAGTCGCAACAAAAAGCGTGTCGCAACGAAAATACAGGCTTTGAGGAGTCTTTAGCAATACCCAACTTTCAATCAAATAGCACTTCTTGAGAACTTCTTAAGAACTCAATTTCATGAGTTCACAAGAAATGTCGCAATTTCAAGAATATCAACATTCTTACAAACTTCTTCGAATTTACAGTATATTACGAAATTTCTCTACTACTTTCTTAAGAAGGTTCTAGTAAATCCATCCCCTGGTCTTTTTTTTTTTTCAATCACCTTTTCAAAGAAAATATCAAAGAACTTCTTGAGAACTTCTTAAAAACTCAACTTCATGAATTCACGAGAAATGTCGCAATTTCAAGAATTTCAACTTTCTTTCAAACTTCTTAGAATTTACAGCGGGGTTGCAAACTCTCACGCATCTGGCGTGACGGTCACGCATTCGGCCACAATCTCGCGCTCAACGAAGAAATCTCACGCTGATTATGACATTCTTGTGCTGTATTTTTTTCTTCACTCATGTTCACTAATTTCCGTCTGCTGACTGCTTTACTGACGTCGGTCGGTAAAATGCCTGAAAGCTGAGTTTATAGATCTACCTGTTGAGCCACTCGCAGAGCTGTCAACCTTCCCGGATTGACTGTGAACTCACGTAATTGACCCTTTTTACACGCACTCATGCCACACATCTTTCGCACGCAGAGAGTCAAAGAGAGGACACTAGTAGCTATAAACACAACAGACCAGACAGAAAAGTTATAAGCTACTTTTGATATGGAACAAATTCTCAGCTCTCATATTCTGGTAATATTTTTACGAGATTCAAACAATGTAAATACCGTTTTTGTTGTTTATAAATGTGACAGATTGCTGTAGCGCCTCGGCTCTCTAACGGCACGTGATACTGTACAACTTTTTTGTTTTCCATAAATCCCCCCCCCCCCCCCCCCAACAAATCTCACTCCAAGCAAAACTCAAAAGTTGGCAACCCTGTTTACAGTATATTACGAAATTTCTCTACTACTTTCTTAAGAAGGTTCTAGTAAATCCATCCCCTGGTCTTTTTTTTTTTTTTTCAAACACCTTCAAATCACAACATGTATTCATCATCAGAAAATTAGATATGAATGTTTTAAATACAGTTATGCCTCCTTCAGGGCTTAAGATGACTCATGCACCTCCTGAGATCCACAACACGATCCATGGACTTGAGTTTTCCATTTACTCTTGCCATATAGACAGCTTGCTATTCTCAATTATTTGGGTAAAAAATCAAATGTGGCTTGATAAAGTGCAGCAGCACCACTGTAACTTAAAAAAACCCCAAAGAAATCACAAAAACCCAGGGATTTACTACAGCAGGCTCTCCATTGTTTCATCCGTGAATCAATGTTAATCACAGGCTTCAAGCTCAGGAAAAATGTTTTACATTTCCTCTAAGCCATTGTCAATGTAAACATGTCCTTGTGAGGACCACAGGATTTAAAATAAGCTCTTGTGGATTTTTCCAGCATGTGATATAGCTTACAAATTCCTCTCGTAATAATTCAGAGAGTTTTAATGTTCTTCTCGGTTTTTGTTCATCACAGCAGAGCTCACCTCAATGGTGCGGTAGTACGGGTCCAGCAGGAGTTTGGCCAGCGCCACTATCTGAGGTGTGCGATCCCAGCCGTCTGAGCAGTGCACCATTACGGGCCTGTGGTCGCGGTCCACGGCGTTCACTACGAGCAGAGACGCCTTGAGCAGGAGGGACAGATGCTGCAGCCACTTTGTGCTCTCCAGGGCAGATAGCCAGCTAAAAACACAACAAAACTCACTATTACACACATCTAATGATTAGGGTGCTGAAGTTAAAAAAAAGATCAGTACTGTTTACCTATTTAAGATTATAATATACAAGGTTTCTTGCACAAAAGGTTTAATATTTAGAACTTAAAAAGCAGTTTTTCTTTCTTTAACTTTAAGACACAACATGCAATATGGCTGACAAACACCGTGCATAACTTAGATGGCATATTTCCATATATTAAGTTGCTGAATACTTATATCACTTATTAAGAGACTCAACGTTAAGGAATTCAGTTCAGATTTTTACTTGCCCTGCCAAAACGTCCACTGGCCCCACCACAAAAAGTAATAAAATAAATAAAATAGTTATTGTTTTCAATGTGTTTGAAGTTTGAACAATGCAACCTTTTCAGATTCTTGATTTCAATATTGATACCACAGTAAAACCTACAAGCCCAACTATAACAATTTCCAGTATTATTAAAGACAAGTAAACAGTCAGTCATTAAATTAGAACAAATAATCAAATTATGAGCAATAGCACAAATAAACAGTGCTTTTCTGAAGTCTTCGGGTACATCAATTAAATAAAGTAATCAAATTTAAAAGACTCTCCAAGATGGGCATTTGGACAAAATTTTGTGTGAATTTGTCCATTCAAGTGCAAGAAGATGTGATAGAGAATTCAATTCAGTATTTGCATGCTGTGGAGTTTTATTACATTTTATAGATATTAATACTTTTATTTATCAAGGATGCATTAAATTGAACAGAAGAGTAATATTTATTTTCAAATAATAATTTATTCAGTTCTATTTCTATTCATCAAAGAAGTATAAACCGCTTTATGCACATCAGGAAAACAGTTTAAATCTTAATGGAAAAAAAAAAAAAGTGATTTGACAAGTGTGGGAAGTTTTTCAACATGGTCAAACGCAGCCAAAGCAAACTGACATTAGTCAAGGAAACACAGAGCGCAGGTAACCGGAGGAGACACTAAAATAATCATTCCCACGAGGAACATGAATGAACATTTAAAAGGAAATCAGCTTTGCATAGACATTTATAATCAGAATAATCAAAGCAAGCAGGGAATTGGATTTTGTCCCCTCTCAAAAATTCATGTCTGTTGCCTAGAAACGCAGCTCTTGAGTTTATCAGAGTTTATCATACTGACTAAAACGAGGAAGAGAGAGAATGACAGAAAAAGGGTCACTTGTAAGACTCGCTGTTGATTTTACAACAAATGGATACGTGGAAAAGGCGCGGATGGAAAAGGAAGCAAACACGAGCCAGCGCTGGAAATCACAGGCAGATCTGCTGCCAGGGAAAAATAACAATGAACGAGAAGAAAGGAGCTTGTGAAGAAACTAAAGCACTTCTTCTGCATTTGTACCAAAACAATTAGCTTAAATAAAACATTTGATTCAAAGCAAGGAAGCATTTTGTTAGTTTTAATTATATAATACTATAGTAGTATTTATTAATATTTTGAATTAGGTTAAATTTTTATATAAGTGTTATCAAATTTGTTATGTTATTGTTTTCATCAGTTTTTTAAAATATTTTAGCTTTAGTAATTTTATTACTTCAACTTTAACTGTTTTTCAGTTATTTGTCAAGGCAACATTTCTACTCTTCATTTTAAGTGTAATGTGTACATTTAGCATCTTTTTCTGCTCTATTTCAGTATTTCATTCGTTTATTAGTCCTATATTAGATCATTCTAGGTAGATAACTGGCAGGAGTTACAGGTTTATGATGTCACAATGGACACAAATAATGATTAACGACGTATATAATAATAGCTCGCACTCATAGTAGTTCTATGCAAAAAAAAAAAAAATCAATATCACTATTTTGAATATCATTACGTTTTTCCTCCAGACAAAGATTATGAGGGTCATTTTAGATTTTGAGATAGATTAATTCATTTGATTAAAGTCTTAAAGAAAAAAAACATGTTAAATCACTAAAAGGTCGAAATACATAAATAAACAAAAGGGACACACTGCAACCGCAGCAGATGTTCCCTGGAAGACTTACTTGGCTGGATCGGGCATTTGGGTGCAGAGGAAGCGCAGAGACTGGAAACTCTTGCGGATGGAATGGATGTTGGCCATACCCATGAACACCACTTCACAGTTAGGGTAGTACTCTACAGGAGAGAGCAACACGCCATTAATGAGGGGGGTGTCTTGTTTTATTGTGATTGTTAAAAGAGCATCTATGAGACAGTACCTGGGCATTCACACCCTCCACCTTTGGCTCTGTTGGCTACGGCAGCAGCGTATGACCTGGCGTCCAGGATCAGAAGCTTTCGAGGTTGGATGGCCAGTGTCTCCACCTCTGAGCTGTTAGTCATGGATGAGTCTATAGACATGTGTGCATAATACATGTATAAGTCACACAATAAATAAATGTACGGACAAAGAAATTTAAGGATATTGTTTCCTTAAATGGATAATTTTTGTTTTGTTTTATAGTGCTATGATCACCCTTAATCAGATTTGACAGCCAAAATCATCTGCTTTATAATTTGAATTAGGCCATGTTCCTTTCTAAGTCTCGTTTACACTGCATGGTTCAAGTGACCCAAATCCGATTTTTTCCTCTCATGTGGCACAGATCGGATATGACCGATGAACGTGTAAAGCAGGAAAAAAAACGCATGGATTCTGATTTTCTCAGATTGGATTCAGGCCTCATTCATATGTGGTAATAAATCGGATATGAATCAGATACGTGCATTTGCATGTGCCATGTAAGCAGACAAATCGGATATTCCCCAGTAAATGCGAGTCATGCGTCATTAAACACTGCGCGATTATAGGCGCGAGCCGTGCGATGGAAGAAAGGATACACACAGAAAAGCAATGTGGAGGTTTCATGTCTTTTGAGTGTTTGGGGTGAAGAGTGCAGGCAAAAATGCAGGATTTTTACAGAAATAAATCCGTTTTTGAAGACATTTCACGAGATATGAGGCATCGTTTTAAGTGCTCATGGCCAGAGCCTCTCCTCTTTTTTTCTCCGCCGTACGAGACCAATGTTTTGATGACTTATTGAAGTATTGTGGAAAGAAAATGCTGGATAATTTTATTCGCATCGGCATCCATTGAATTTCGTGCTGTTTTGCTTAATTTCCGGGTTCAGAACCATCAGAACGTCTGGATTTGGTAGTTTCAGCAGTGTAGTGTGAATGCAAAAATCGGATATGGGTCACTTTTAAAAGATGATGTAAGCAGGTCGTCCAAAAAATCGGATATAGTCAGAAAATCGGATTTGGGCATCAAGACCTGCAGTGTAAATGCAGCCTAAGTGTCTATGGCTAAATTAAGAACAGTTTTCAGTTCTGACCGAAGTCCACATCTGAGAGGTCAGCTCCGTTAGTGTACTCGCGGGACAAGGAGCCATTGGAGACGCCTTTACAGGTGCTGCTGTCCACGGCACAGGCTCTGGCGATGGACTGCACCAGGTGCTCATCGTCTGCATTCCTCCAGCCCCACCAGCTGACCTCAGGCTGACCACAGCGAGCGATCACAGCCCCTGTGCTCTGGTGCCTGGGAACGAAAGGTGAAAGAGCTGGACTATTAACCTGAAGGTTCTAGGCACTGCTGTCGATCTTAACCAAAACTAAAAATTGTCACAAGGTTTGGTCGACAGATGAGGCTGACTGACCTATAAACCACGGCGGGGAACCTCTTCCAGGAGCGGAAGGCCGCCACATTCTCCAGCTCCTTATCAGTAATCCAGGCTGGCACCAGCAGCATTTGAGGGTAGCTGGAACACAACCTGGTGGGCAAGGGGGCAAGTAGAGGGCACTGTGATCAGATCAGGGCATCAGACTGACTAACCTTGTGCAAGGCCCTGAACAGACCCACTGAGCGCAGCAGGATGGGGTTGAGGGTCCAGATGTTTTTAAACTCAGAGTGTTATGAGTTTGAGAGAGAAACACTCACTTGTACTTGTTGTTGATCTCAGATACTCTCCAGGCGTTCTGAGTGTCGAAGCCCATCCGCTCCACCTCGTTATGGAAGCGTGACGTCACATGATCACCTGAAAGATAGAGGCAAGTGAGAGGTTGAGAGGAACTCTGAAGGTAAGAGGATTTCAAAGGAAGAACTAGTTACAGGACTGGACAAATTTAGTGTATCTTGAATATGGACTCACTAGGTGTAGAAATACAGAGATAAAACTATTTGTGAGGAGACAGGTTAAATAGTACCTGGCCTACACAGATCTCCATGCTGCTCCTTCTCTCCTGTGTACAGATCCACACACCACGCGTGGAAGGCGAAAGAAAACAGCTCCTCTATCCGGGACGGTGGACGGACCACCGCGCTCAGCCTCTTCAGCCACTCCTGACACTGCTCAAATGTTGAAAACTGACACCTGTCAAAACACACATTAGATTTACTGCATCAGAGGGACACAGGGAAACAAAATCAAAGAGAGGCAGAAAGACAGACTGGGCTGACCTGGATTACTGCACATACTGGTTGTAAAAATTGTATTTTCAACAGTCACAATGACATCCTGCTTAAAAATTACACTAACAATGATTCGTTTTCATAGAATAAAGCATGATTCTCCCACGATTCTAAATATACAACTAAACAAAATAACATGTAATTTACTGAAATCATGAAATCTATGCAATTATTAAACTTACAACATTTCAAAAAAGAAAATCTAAGACATTTTTTTTTTATTCACCACAAATTATGTGTTTTTTCTGGTAATCAAATGAAGACATAAAATTCTGTTTTTAATGAATGGATTTCGTCTGCGTTTTCTGCATAGCCGCTGAAGTCACTACATGGAGCTTGCGCTTCCGTTGTTTTATTTTTATTTATTTATTTTTTTTATTATATTTTTGTCATTCTTTGGGTGGTTGAGTCGTTAAGGGGAGGCCAATACAACGGTAGGGGAAACATTTGCCAGTGTGACATCACAGGTCACCCAGTATCTAAACAAGCTTTATGTGATTGATTAAGTTTATAATGAGGGAGATATAAGTTATAAAACTGGCAGCATGTTTTAATTGTATAAAGATCTCTTCTATGTTAAGGCAAATTAGATTTCTCATGTCATGACCCCTTTAATGATTATTCATGCAGCTCTAATAGATAGATAGATAGATAGATAGATAGATAGATAGATAGATAGAGACAGATAGACAGACAGACAGACAGACAGACAGACAGACAGACAGACAGACAGACAGACAGACAGACAGACAGACAGACAGACAGACAGACAGACAGACAGACAGACAGACAGACAGACAGACAGACAGACAGACAGACAGACAGACAGATAGATAGATAGATAGATAGATAGATAGATAGATAGATAGATAGACTCACCTGATGACCTTGCAGTCTTTGCAGGTAATGTGCAGTTGAAACATTTCCCGACATTCTACACTTTCTATCAGCTGCAGAGGAACCTGAAAGAGCGAGAGAGACAGAATAGACATTATTTTTCCATATCTGGCACTGTGAGTCTCAGCACACCACACGGAGCGACTAAACCGGAAGTCACCATTAACCCACCCAATGCTAATGATTAAATCAACCTGTGGAATCAATCACACTGAAAGTTAAGACGGGCTTAGAGTTTACAAACACGTTAGTGATTAGCGTCTGCAGCTTATTTCAGACAATCTCATTCTTTGTTCTGCAGCTCAAGTGTTGAACGGCCTGCATGCCAATCAGCTTCAATCAGGTATGTGTGTTCACATGTGTGGACAGCGTTGCAACGGTGCGTTTGCAAAACGCAGTTCCCCTTTTAAGCTCTGGAACTTGCGCGTGATCACACGTTGATCGCATGCAAGTCTGACCACAGCTCTCAAAACAGCATGCATACAAACGGACCGTTCTGTGGTTACTTACTGACACCTCACACGAACAATTCTGTTCACAGAGAAAGAAAGAGAAAGGGAAGACAGAATCACGAAGTGGACGTGTACACTGCCAGTTTTGGCTCATCTGACTGTGATACACACATTCTTGGGCGGCGGTTAAATTCCACTGTACTAATCTGTCCACACTCAAACATTCCTCGGGCGCTTGTTAAAGGGTCAGTGAGCACTAAAACTCATTTGTGAGATATGAACGGATCCATTTTATGGATGGCAAACTTGTTAACAACTAAGATTATTATTTTTTTCTCCAAAAAGGTCTCTCTAAATTGAACCACAGCACTACAGCCATTAAAAGTGTGTTTGGTAACAAAGTCAGGCATGTGATCAGCTATGGCCAAAAAACGGATTCATGATATATTGGCTGCGTTCGAAAGCTGAAAAATGCTGCCTCTGCAGGAAGGATAGCTTCTCTTAGCAAGGATCTGCTTGCCGTAGCTCGATTCAAAGCGGTAAGCTTGTAATAATGTTTTTTAATTCCAGTGGTACTGGTGGATTTCCACGGGAGATTCGAGCATGTCTTTGCGTCATTACGTCACATCTGTACACACACATCTGTACACATAAAGAAGGAGTCTCGGCTAGTAGGCTATGGCTGTGAGGATGTTGGAGGTGGAGATTTATAGCCTTTTCTCACAGCACTTGATATAATTAAACTTATCAATTTGATGGCGGATCCAGAAAGGTTCAAACGACACCAGTGACAACAGATTCAAAATGCAAAAGAGACTGCAACCGGCCCATGCGAAAACAAGAATGCATATCGGAAGGAGTCACACAATGCTGCTGACGTTGTTAACATTAACAATTTGAGAACAAAGTATAATTTGCACGGTTTTGCGCGATATAACTTAAAAGGGATTGTTAGATTTAATCAGCGCGATTCACTGCAATGTCAGAGTCAGAACAAAAGTGGATGTTTCTTACTAGTTCAGATGACATTTTCCGGTGAAAATTATTATGTTGGTCATACTCCCAAAAATAATAATCTGTGATTCTGAATGCCAGTATCCACATCGGCACAGTGACTGACAAACACACACTCTCCTCAAACACGGTGTTCATCTTTGCTGTGCCGTGTCGAGGGTGTCGACATTGATCATTCCACGAATGCAGATTTCGAACAGAGATGGCGACAGAGGAAAAACGCCAGACTGCAGCTTTAAATATATGCTTGGTTACATTTTACATTTATTAATTTAGCTGACACTTTTATCCAAAGTGACTTACAATTGCTATATGTCAGAGGTTGCACCCCTCTGGAGCAACTAGGGGTTAAGTGTCATGTTATCCACTGCACCATCATCACCCCATGGTTATCACCAAAGCTCGCTCTATTTTGTTGTAGATCTTTAAACCATTATGATGCCTCAGAAGTCTGTCCGAAATGACTTTCATGAGGTACCTCCGTGAGCAAACCTTCTTTAATATATACATAAATATGAACGTATTATTAGCATTTGGTGGTTTGTTTGTAGTAATTTATTTATTCGATTTTTCTAATAGTCACATAAAACTGCTTTCTTCCCTCCTCAGATTAACGCAATTCATGTTGGTCGTCATACTCAGCTTGGAAAATATGGAAATATGCAAAAATACGGAAAAATTGTATATAAATACAGAAAATCATCTAATTACTATCGGACTTCGAAACCTTCTTGAATATATACATGAATATGAATATATTATCAGTATTTGGTGGTTTGTTTGTAGTAATTTATTTATTAGATTTTTCTAATAGTCACATAAAACTGCTTTCTTCCCTCCTCAGATTTACGCAATTCATGTTGGTCGTCATAAAATATGGAAATATGCAAAAATACGGAAAAATTGTATATAAATACAAAAAAATCATCTAATTACTATCGGACTTCGAAACCTTTGCTCTAAGCAATGTTCCTGTTATTACATACAATCCATAAGGTATGCAAAGTTCAACTTTAAAAAAAACATGTCTCAAGACTCCTGCACTCACACACACACACAAAAAAGACACTTTAACGGTAAAAACTCTCGATTTCCTTCCTCTTTCAAGTCCCAACACTGTACAACAGCTTAGTTGCCTAACTGGCTGGTCTTTAGTCACACACTTACAGTGTCAAACACACACATCACTTTCTCTTCTCACGCACAACACACTCCCTCTTTCAGTTTCACAGGCACAAAGAGAGCGTCACACTCATTTACTCTGGTGAATAAGTGACTGTCACAGATATCAACTGATGAATCTGAGCTGATCACCCACAAGCCACAAACACACCCAGCCGCCTGATTGCATTTAAACGAACAGAAGAGCGCACGTTGAAGGAATATTTCGGTTTAAACCATTCAACCTTAACAGCACCTGTGGTCCACTGTTAATTTATCAAAGACAATAATTTTGAAATTTATTTTGTCTCTCAGTTTGTAGTGCACTTACAATGAAAGTTCAGCAGGAAAATATTTAAGGGATAATGTGTAGCCAGACCATCATTATTGCAAAATGAACCCCAACAGATAGTGTATGGAAAAAAAATATTGAAATTATATTAGTGGCACATAAATTATTCAATTAATCTTCAATATAAGCACTTAAAACCAAACAAAAGTGGCTGCGCATTTCTGCTTTTAAACCACCCAGTACAAAGTCCCCATCGGCTGCCATTGTAAGTGCATTACTGTAAATGTAATTTACATGCATTTTTACAATCTTTTGACAGAATGCCAGTTAATATTCTATTCGGCATTTAACCCAGAATATTCCTTCTCTCATCTTGTGGACCATTCGTTCATGAACAGACAGCTCTGTGTGCTGCACTGGAATGAGGAGGTTTATGAATCATGACTGCTGGTCTATGAGGGGTATAGCAGAGCAGATTATTAGTACTACTATGTAACCAAAACCTTAATATAGTGCCATGTTGAAAGCATGGGGGTGGACAATCCCAATCAAAAAGCCACCGCAACCATGGCAACAGACCCGGGAAGAAAGAGTGCAAGAGAACAGCTAATAAAGACAGACCTGTTCAATACACATTCACTAGCCAATGTTAATAGTGCCTGATGTAACTGTGGCTCTCTGTCCCGAAATACCCTTCACAACATCTGTAGGCTCTAAATATAGCAGCATGCCAAGCACCACATAAAAGTATCTTTCAGTGACCACTGGGAAGGATAGATTATACGCCATACATCCGCTACAGTACAACAGACCACAATAGAGTTTCACTCAAGAAACTCTGAGCTGAGGGTGAAAAAAATAAAAGTCACGCTGCAAAAAAATATATTTCCGCATATTAATGTGGCCCAGATTGAATTGAGCATATCTGGTGTGATTTTCCCCATTCACACTGTCAAATATACACTGTGTTGCATGAGGAGAAAAAATATGAAGAGTTCAGATGCAAAAGCCATTAAGTGCCATTTGAAATTTTCTTCTAAAATTATCATTTTTATCAAGCTTGTATATTTAAGTTCAGTAATTTCACTTAAATGGCAATGAAGATTAGCTATTAATTGTCATTTATGTGAACTTGCTGAACTTAAATATACAAGCTTGATAAAAATGGTCATTTTAGAAGAAAATTTAAAATGGCACTTAGAGGCTTTTGCATCTGAACTCTTCATATTCAAGTCCCACATTCAAGTCCAGAAGTCAGATGTAATTTTGAAAACCAGCTGAATTAAAAGAAGACCGAATAAGAAAATGCCTGAAATGCAAACATTGCTCAGTTTAGTTTGATGTCGAATATCTGTTGAATCCACGTCAACTTCTTAGAAATGTAAAATTGCTGTTTGTTTCAATATCTCTGCCAAATAGGTTTTAGTATATTCTGTGAAGAACAAAGAGCTCATACATCTGTGTTTAGCAAACTTTGGCAACAACAGCTCAGTAAAAGTTTTTTTTTTTTTTTTAATACTTCCCAGACTCATATCCTTAGCTACAGACAGTAATATAAAGCACATTTGTAAAGTGTTTGAAAAATAAATGAATAAATCACACACTCACATTAACAACCGACTCTTTAAACTTGATGTGCAGGCGGTAGCTGGACATGGCGATGACGGCATCTTCCGCCCTGCCCACGTACTCCGTAAACTCTCCATGCAGCTCTGGGAAGGGCACCTACAACAGATGATAATATCAGAAACCTATATCCAACACACTTCAGCAGAAAAAGACCATTCATGAGTCTTCCTGTCAGGGGTGCTGAAAACAAAGGCTGTTTTGAAACCTAGTGAGCTCTCTCGCTTTCTACTGTCTACATATCATCAAAACAGTAATTGAACCTCATAATTAAATGATCTGAAATGCTGTTCATAGTCAATCATGTGTGACACGTACATTATCTTCACAGTGCATTTTAAGAGATGCAACTAATGCAGTCTTTGGTTTTTTGCTGTCTACTATTTCATTTGGGACAGGCTACACATTGCGAGCACATATATGATGCCTAAAAGTGTTGCCTAGGTAGACAGCTCAGTAGTTTTTGAAACCGGGCTTAAAGGTGAAGAATGTGCAGTAGTTTCTGCGATACGCTGCGCCTCCCCAAACTCAATCACAGCTATTACGGGTACTTGAAGGCATGTCTCAACAGGTAAAAGTAGGCTATTTTCAATAAAAAGTCCAACATAATTAGGTATACCTTTAGCTGTGTTGCTATGTGTCATAAGTAAGCAATTGAATAGGCTAATATCACTCTGTCCAGAGTAACTTATAATAAACCCACCCAATGTATCTGCACTGGAGGTATTTTTTTAAGCACATGCAAAACCTATTGGAGGCTGTTTACACTGGACACATCGAAGTAAAACGTATAAATTGGAACATTTGTCTTTCTGGATGAGTGCATGATAATGATGTAATGAAGCATCCATCGTAGCGCATTGATTCGCAATGCCACGTTTGCTTTCGCGTGTTCATGACCCGATTAATCTTTGAAGATCTAAATGCAACAAAATTTGGCATGCATGACTGTAACCAAAAGAGAACGTCTTAAACCTTAAGATTTTTGCTTTCAGGATCCCTTAAAACTTTTCAGAAGACCTGAGAAGCTGTCCTAGACTACATAAAAAGATTTAATTTGTTCTCCTGACACTAATGCTGTTACTGGGAGGAGAAGGGACCAATACTAGAGAGAGGATTGTTTATTTTTAATCAATTTATTTGGTTATAATATATATATATATATAGTTTGGGTGGGAGGGTTCTGGATGGGTTTAAATTGAGACAAGCCTTAATTTCTTATTTTTAATTAAATGTATCATTATTTGTTGTCAAATATACCAATACAATTTTTTGACAGAGAATTTTTTTTTGTTTTTGAATTTCCCCTCTTGGTCAGAATCAAATAATAGTTGTATTAACCGTCTCACTACACTCTAATAAACATCATTCATCTTGGCAGTGGTCTTGATCCCACTTACCTGAAGATCATCCTCCTCCAGGATGGGGGGCTTGCGAGGGAAGATCTGATTGGCCTGGATGCACTCCAGACTCTGCTGCCCCTCCTCCTCCTGTCAAGCAGATTATGGATAAGAAATTAACTACATTACACACTTCTGTGCTAAAATATTAAAAATAAATATTATATATATATATATATATATATATATAATTTATATTATATATACTTCATATATTTGTCAGGGAAATGTGCCACATGTCATTAAAAATGTATGCAATATAATGCACATCACAATGGTTGTAATTTATTTAAAATATATATAATAAATTATAAAGCCATGTAAATTATTAATCTACATGTATTACATGGACAGGTTTTCATTATTCACTCCATTTATGTTATGCTGCAACAATACAAGAGTGTAAGAGCATCTTTATCAAAGGCTAAATATTTGATGCCATCACAAGTTACTCCTTTTCCAGCTTTATCACTCCCGGGGGCCAAAAGCCAAACTGTTATACGGATAAAACATTGTTCATGACTAAACCTCTGATTAAATGACTGATTATCTACAGTAAGCTAAACTGGGGACAGAGTGATCACAGCATTACCTAAACCAATACCCCTTTTTGGCTGGGCTTCAGCAGCAAAACATTTGAAATAGCAAACAGGGAGCAAGCCAGGACTTCCTGCTCTGAGGTCACTTCAGCTATTTCTGATACAACAGGCACTCCTGTAACCGATACAGTAGCCGGCTTTACTTTAGACTCTCAATGAGTAGAGTTATAGTAAATCATGGCTACTACAATCACTCACCGTGAGAGACACTTAAACATGCAATGCCAGTGAACGGTTCGGACACATCTACTTAGAATAATAGTAGTCCTCAAAACGAACAAACACAAATGAAAAGTTTGGGAATTATGTAGAAACCAAAAAACATTAAACAAATAAAAAGAGCAACCTTAATGCATGACAGTGAATACATTTAATGTCAATGCAAAAACATATTATTAGAGTTGTGTGCTGGAAATGATTCATGACAGCGATGAGCAAGGTAAAAGTCATTACATTCACTTCTGTATGCAGGAATGAGAGGCTACGGCCCGCGGTAGCCTTGAGAGTTCAGATTGGCAGAGAATGTTTGGACTCAGTTTCCACAAATAGGAGAGACTCTGTGAGAGAGGGCAGCTGTGTCGCCATGTTGTCTAGCTCAAACACGGGAGTCCTCAAGACAGAGTGATCTGGTTGTGCCATAAAATGCTGCCCAGTCAAAGACAGGAGTGTACTGGATGAGATATGCACAGAGGAAGTGTGGTTTTGTATAAACCATGTACCCTCTTTCTATCTATCTATCTATCTATCTATCTATCTATCTATCTATCTATCTATCTATCTATCTATCTATCTATCTATCTATCTATCTATCTATCTATCTATCTATCTATCTATCTATCTATCTATCTATCTATCTATCTATCTATCTATCTATCTATCTATCTATCTATCTATCTGTGTATCTATCTGTGTGTTTGCTGGATCAGCAGCATAGGCATCTGTGTGTAATGCTGACAATGGCCCTGAGCACGGCTCAGTAAACACACTAGAGGGGCCGGCCCGGGGCGCCTCATTATGGGCACAGGGAAAGAACCAGACAGAGAATTACAGGGCACAAACGGGCAGAATAGCAAACAAACAATAATGTGCATAAATCATTAAGAATGTGTAAACAAACACATCAATCAGAATTCGCACATAAAGCAGAGGCATTTGTTAAACTGTCCTGACACTTCAGCAAACAAGAAAATGAGGTACACTTTTCTGAACACACATATACAGCAGGGTTTCCCACAGCACTTTAAATCTAAGGTGACCGCCTAAGCAACACACACCTTAACGACGTCGTCAAAAGAAAAAAATGCGGGCGCGCCTACGCCTCGCCGAACATAGCAGAACAGGGCGGGTTTTTATATCTCATCTCCATAAATATATCTAGTAGCCTAGTAAAGCTAATGCAAGGGTTAGAATCAATTAATCCTTTGCTGATACGTCCTTGTCGTCATCATAGAGAGCACAGCTCATGGTTACATAGAAACGACAGAGGCCACGGGAGAGCAAGCGCTTCTCCTTCACCTGCTGTTAGCATTCCATTGACTCCCATTCATTTTGGCGTCATTTTGACAACAAATAACTTTACATCTGAGGCGTCCAAAGACTTCATTTGTCCATTATTTATTTCTAAAGAAACACGACAAAGTATAAAATGCTCAATTTTTTTTCTATCTTACGCCGTTTTTGTAAAAACAGGCTAAAGATTGCATCATAACCACGGGACTTTCTGTCGCACAATAGAGACATTACCATATAGACAGGAGGAGATGCTCGCAGGCAATCGGGGGGGCATGGAGGCACAAAGTCAAGGGAGAAGCCCATAGATAGAGAGTCCATAAAAGCAATGCGACAAAATATTTCAACGTTTTTGAGGAATTAGGTGATTCAGATTTGTCTTGGCACAGCTACTAGAAGATTTACAACTGTCAGACTGCCGTCACGCTCAATTTGAGCCTGCGCAGGCGCTCAGACATCAGGCAGGAAGTGCAATAATCGGGATTCAGTCTTCTCCGTTGAAATCAACGGGGTCGCTGTGTCCATTTCTTTGACTGTCTATGACAGTAAATGATGTCTCTGTTGGTTTCTCTCAAAATGAAAGGTTCATAATAAAGCTTATATTCCAGCTACATTGATTTTACCTTGTTGTTAGTTATGACATGCAGCAGAGTGGATAAAATCCCTTAAAAATAAATCACTGTAAGATCACTAACTGTTCTGACTAGTGCGTCAATAAAATGGCTGCAAGAGCAATACTATATAAAACACAAATGTTCATTCTAGGCATGGGCGGTATCCAAATTTTCATACCGTCAAACCTCCTCCCTATTTTACCGCGGTATACGGTATTACCGCGTGACTAATTAAAAATTACGAGATAAGGCTCAGACGGCATCACACATGATGACACGTTCAACCAGAGAGTGTCGGTTCCAATAATGCATCTAAAAGCTGTCAATCAACTATTAGAAAACAGGAGATACACATTGTCTCACACCAGAGAATGTGAGCAGAGTGGTGATATTTCCTCTAGAGAGGGGAGCGCATTTCTGAAGATCACGCGCCACGAGCTCTTGACGCGAGCCAGTGGAGCCGAGATAAAATTATTTATTAATAAACTAGTGTTTTCTATGTCAGTTGCTACAAAGATAAAGATTGCATTGACGATGCAAACTGGCATCTTCATGGTATGAAAACACGAATAAAGAGTAGCCTAATGCACACTTCATATGAATAAGCCTATAGCAGAGAGCAGCCCATTTCTTTTAGCTTGTAATTGTTTTGTTTAAAAGTATAGACATTTCAAGCTTACATATATATACACTTCTCAGATCATTTAGACATGTTTCTTATATGCCGAGTTTCAGTTCATGTATGAATCGCGCTCCAGTCACGCGTCGGCGCGTGTCCTGATTACTATCTTTGCTTTTTATTTATTAGCCTAATCCAGGCAATTCGTTGATGAAAAAAAATAAATAAATGAAGATGCAATTTATTCAAAACGAAATTCGTTTTAAAGAAAGGCTTTGTACAAAACAAAACGTAATAAGTGGTCATAATCATGTCTGACTGACCCAACGTGTTTTCTATGTCAATTGCTGCAAAGATAAAGATTGCATGCAAACTCGCATCTTCGCGGTAGTGAACGCGAATAAAGAGTAATGCACACTAGGCTACATATGAATTAGCCTAAACATAAGCAGAGAGCAGCCAATTTCTTTTAGATTGTTAAAGAAGACATTTCAAGCTTACTATATATATACACTTCTCAGATCTTGTTTCTTATATGCGAGGTTCAGTTCATGTATGAGTCGCGCTCCAGTCACGCGCCGGCGCGTGTCCTGATCACTATATTTGCTTATTATTAATTAATCCAGGCAATTCGTTGATGAAAAAAAAAATTAAAATGAAGATGCAATTTATTCAAAACTAAATTCGTTTTAAAGAAAGGATTTCTACAAAACAAAACGTAATAAGTGGTCATAATCATGTCTGACCCATTCCAAATGTTTTCCGATATTGCGCATTTTATGATCTTATCTTAGTCATCTCATGAAGTTCCCTTTTCATAAAATCAACATACATAGAAAAACATCATATTATTAAAAAAATATGAAAGGAATACGTTTTTTTTTCAAACCTATCTTATATTTAAGCGTCACACGGTCCGTCCCGCTGTAGACTACATGCATGTGGCGTGCATGTGGTGGTGGGGCGCAATTTTCAAATAATAATCGAATAATACCAGGCAATCTTTAAATATTATTTTTGCTTGAAATGCCCATTCCTGCCAAACTGCAGAATTCGTGTTCTTCTTCGAGACCAAGTCACTCGGTGCGCAACTTGCAATCTTTGCCCTCTCTCCCCCACTCTCTCGTCACCACACTGTCACGTCATGAGAACCAGATATAAGCATTTTAGCCATTAAATAAATTGTATTTAAAACATTGCACTTATATAGGAGACAAGGATTCCTTGTCTCCTATTTAAGTGCATTGGTTTTTTTTTTCTGACGGTATGACGATATTGAAAATGATACCGTTGCTATTTTTAGATCCCGCGGTATACGATATTACCGTAATACCGCCCAAGCCTAGTTCATTCATTCATTCATTCATTCATTCATTCATAATACAAACTGTAGGCTGTTTACAGTTGCCAAGCAACTAATAGAAGGTTTATTAATATAAAAATCAATGGGCTATATGCACGCATAAGTTCCGCATTTGACGCAAGGATGCTCGTCCATTTCCGGTTGTGTAGATTTAAGCGGAGGAAAACCGAGGAAAACGGGATTATGGCAGAGTCTTTAATATTTACTGTCCTCCCGTCTTTGAAACGAAACGTACATACGTTTAGATGTAATTTTATATATGAAGAGTTCAGATGCAAAAGCCTCTAAATGCTATTTGAAATTTTCTTCTAAAATGACCATTTTTATCAAGCTTGTATATTTAAGTTCAGTAATTTCACTTAAATGACAATTAATAGCTAATCTTCATTGCCATTTAAGTGAAATTACTGAACTTAAATATACAAGCTTGATAAAAATGATCATTTTAGAAGAAAATTTCAAATGGCACTTAGAGGCTTTTGCATCTAAACTCTTCATATAGTTATGTTTATTTAATATAATTTTAAAAAGAAGCATAAACACAACGAGGGGTGTCTGTTTTATCTGTTTTTGTGATTAACGTTTCATTAGTATAACCATGGAGTATAAATTTCAATATAAATTCTCGCTATTGCATTGGACTCTATGATCGGCGGAAGTTATCAAGCATCCTTACACCTTCACCGGAAATAACGCCGTGCATAGAGCCCATTGCTGGTCACAGATTATGCATCAATCGTCCATCTGAATGAACGTATTTTACCCCATCAGAATTTAAAGCCGGAACTGTTTTATAATGAGCAGAACACACTGATGACACTAGCACACATCTATCCATTCATCCTGTCTGTCTCTGTGTCAAAAGAGGCCATTGATCTGCGCTGAGACAACAGTCAGGACGGGACTTTGACACTGTCTGAGTGACGTTCATTTCAGCTGATTAAAAGCCTAAGAAATCAATGAGCAGTTTCCGATTCAGCATTTGAACCAGTGCCTGGGAGTCACGCGCAGGGAAAGTGAGAGATGTTTACCATAGCCCCGGTGAAGGAGTGCGGGTGCAACACTGTCGTGTCTTCAACCACTCGTCAGCTCTTTCTCGCAGACTTCAGTCTGAGTGAAGAAAAAACAATTAACACTTAGCGTAATGATTGGACTTTACTTTTAATTTGTCTACAAAATAACAATGTTATGTACTTAGTTTTGATTATGGTTTCTCTAATATGGTCAAAATGCAATAAACTATAATAACCAAGCCACTTGGATCTTACCAAATTCTTAAAAACAATGAGGTGAGGTTTGTTTTGGACGATCCCACGCTGGTACCGTCACTCAGTGTTATGACATTGAAACCTGAGGAAAGAGGAGAAAAAAGAGACTTTAATCCATCACTCTCTATTCCACATAAACATCTCTGACAATACAGCTTTTCACAATTTTTACTCTGTGGGCAATGAAGCATGCCATTGCACAGCCGTTCATCTACAGGGCAGGCTTTTAAAAGATATGGTATATCACTAAATTACCAGCAAAAACAGTTAATTTCTTAAAGGAGAACACCAGCATATGCATGAGCTCAAAACTACAGACATAAAAAAGCATTTTAATAAACTGCATCAAAGTTGGCTTTCCAAGCAAAACACTGCGACAAGCACAAACACCACAGTCGTTCATATACTGCACCTAAAATACACGTGAAAAACACCATTATGTCATTTATTACTCTTCTCTGGAGGTGCATCAACTGACAACACCAACTGGTTTTTACTATTCTTCCAAAGAAAGCTAAGCCTATCTGTGAAGATCTGCTAAAAGATGCATAAAGAATGAGCTGATGCTGTTCCACAGAAGACAACAAAACCTAAATTGTTATAGACTTAACAGAGCAGCAGTAAAGCGTGTCATGAACGGGATGATTTCAGTGACCGGTTTGTCTCTTGAGAGTCATGTGAAGTGAGTTTAGTTTGTTCATGGCCAGAGGGCAACAGCATCCATACGCAAAAAACATTAAAACACACGCATCCAGTGGAGGCCACGCTGAGGCCGCCTGGAAACTACTGATAAAACATATCTCTAACAGGCAAATGCTCATGTTTACTACAGCTGAGCGGTCTGTCTTCAATCTGATTGGCCCAAATGACTGACTTGCAATGTGGGATCATGCAAACTGTTCAACATGAAAAAGTCTGTTAGTTTTGTGCAGTGCCAACTGCCAAACCATTTTCATACTGGTCTGTGTCCAAAAGCTTTGTTTCAGGAAGTGTTGGGTATTCAGAAACAACGGCTTTCTGGAGAATTCTCCACTGTGTTTTAGGTCAACTGACTGCAGGTGGACAGAAGAATCATTCAGGATTTTACTTTCCATCTCAAGTGTCACTCTTACTGTCCCAAAGGTCAATCTGCATTGTGTGTTCTCATTCCTGAACCACCGTTGGGACTGATTCAGTTTCATTTTACTAAAACACCAACCAATGACTACCTAATGCTACTCCTCCTTATTGTCCCATGTCAAAGGGCACATTCATGGATGGCACATGTTTATATTTTGCCGTTATTATTTTCACTAGAAACAATCATTCCAATTTCTAAGAACGTGTTATATTGAACATAAACACATTTATCGTTTGACTGGAACTAAAAAAAAAAAACAACGCAAACAAAAAACAAAGACGTTGTAAGGATCTATTAAATAATAGAAATTGCAATGCACACATCATTTTTATCTAACTTTAATAAAGTATGATTTAATTTGCTGTGGTGCTGGAGATTCAGCAACGGTGGGAAATAAACAAAACTCGCAACAGGAAAATAAACAATGAATGAATACATAGTTTTGCATTGTCACACCTATAAGCTATGTTTAGTGCTCGATTTCGATTTATTGCTCAGATCGGATTTTATTTTTATTTTTATAGCTGTTCACATTATTGTTTTAAATGTGGCCAATATCAGATCCCAGCGTGAACAGATCGTGTTCCTGCAAAAGAACGATAAAAAGACATTGCGCAGCACGACATTAAAGCAAACGAATACGCATTTATTTATAGAGTGATTTGCCGCCAAAGCCAACGAAATGAAGTGCAGTCAATATGAAGAACAAAGATAAGGGTGTGAAATTTTTTTTTTTAAACATTTATGTATCATGTCCTTCCACTGAATACCTTTCAAAACTGGCTTGATAACGTCGGCTATGTAAAATTTTTGAAGTGATGTGCATGAGAGCAGAATTGTGATGAATATCTAGAGTGACGTAAAAGTAGAGTGACCAGATTTCTCACAGTACAGGAAAAAGAAACTAATTGCAAACATATAGGACAAATAAGATAAAGCTAAATTTTAAAAAAAGTTTTAACTTTTGAAAAAAACGGGACGCCTGGTCACCCAAAGTCGCTATATGACGCATTGCAAAACATCCGTCCTGTATCGGATTTGGGACCACATATGGAAGTGGCACAAATTGTAATTTAAGAGATCAATTTCCATGTTACCTCGCTGTTTGCTTGCTGTAACTGTTCGCACTGAAAAACAGCAGAAAAATCGGATTTGTGCCACATTTACCTGCAGTTGGAACGTAGCCTTAGTGGAACAAGTCCCAAATCAAGACATAAAGACTTGAAGAATAGCGAAGCTAAGTGAAAGCTTCTGCAGCTTACGGCATTCAGGCATTTTTTCAGAGGGTGTAATTGTCCAAATGCTTTGTGGGTATGCTGTGCTCTAAACAAACAGCAGAAACAGATGTTTATTATTATCTCTCAGCATTGCTGGAGTTCATTCATAAACTCAACCACAACTCGCCCTCCTGTCACTCTAGTTTACTATTGATCGCTCAAACAGGCTCAAGACACACAGTTAGTGACGTGCAAACAAACACACAATCATTTGGGTTTTGGAAGTCATGCATTTGTGCTCATTCAGCAGTTTGAGTTAACCTTTAACCAGATTAATTTTATCCCTAAGTCACACCATGAGTCAGTCAGATTGACCACACATGAGAAACCCAACACCAAAACAAGAGCAGGAGAGCCAAAGGATCATCTACCAGTCCAACGCCACGCGGATATGACAGAAACAAACAAACCCAACACGCCTCTCTACAGCAAGCCTTACTTGTTAAAAGTAAAAATGCCATAGCTACTGCAGTAAAACTGTGTTTACTGGGTATAGAGTGCAACAGAAGTAAAAGTCCCATTCATTCTGCTGGAAAATAAGGTCTCCCTATGGCAATTGTTACTACAGTAAATATTCTTAAGCCTTCATTCACTGAGTATTATTAATATGTTACAGAGAAACGTAAAGCATAATTTTCATGACGCCATAGTAATCATAGTCTCCACCAAAATAGCATAATTATTAGAGCTATTGTTCCAACTGTGAGGTCATGATAATTAGTATCTCCTCCTAAAAGCGAAGCTCTCAAAACCTTTTACTGTAGTATATGTTATTATGCTGATAACGTGGCAGTTATTGTTAGAAAAGTAACAAAAATGGCCTGAAAAATTTGCATTATGGTGATACGTTAATGCTTTGGTTTTTATAACAGTCATTATACCATGACACCCATAATTATAGCCTCACTACTAGACTACAGTAAATGGTTTATCGTTTTCTTTTCCTTGTCAATCGTGGCAGTTTTATATCAATCACAATTGCATAAAGCTGGTTACCATGGTGAACTGTTGTAAGGCGCTCGCGCTCGATCTGTCAGTCAGTCGCGCGGCGGCTGTTTCCCTGACTGGAGCTCGAGCGAAGTAACCGACAAAAACTGAACTAAAAGGCCGCATTTTTACCCCTGTCAGGGGTCAAATGTATATCAAACCAACTAAGTAGCACAACCCTTTAAACCACGGTGATTTTTTTTATAGCTCATGTGAAGCATTTATTAGATGTATCCTCAGCCGAGGCCCGTTTCGGCGTCTGTTGTTGTTGTTGTCGCGAGCAGAGGGCGGACCCCTCAGATAAGGCCTCAAAACACGGCGAAAAACACCCGCATCTCGGGTTAAAACGACACAGCTCACTCACCTGAATGCAGCCTGCGAGGCAGAGCGGATATACTCTTTCTTCCGAGTCGCAGGAGAGGAGATTAACGATGAAGAAATCGACAAATTGCACCTCGTAGCCATTTGCAGAGTCGGCCCGTCCCACTGTGGAATCCCGTCGTCATCGCAGCCTCCCCGACGTCATGACGTCACGGCGTAAATTGCGTCAGCACGTTCGAATGAGCGATGGGGGAGGGGCGGATATGTAAACAAGCTTTGAAGTAGATGCAAGTAATGCTGCTTCTATTCATGAATAAATAAATAATCACAGAGACAATGGAGACTTTGGCATGGGATTTTGGCATAATAAATGCTTGTGTTTGTTAGAAATGTTTAAACCGCCCCATATTAAACTAACTTTAAATGAAAGTGAATTAAGAAAACATTTGAGGGAAGAGTGGGCTAATTGTCACTTTTTTAAAGTCCAGTAAATATTGTTCAGGTTTGTTTTGAGTCGATTCCTACATACCAACAAAATTTATCACAGTGAGAAAGTGCTGTTTAGTGGCAATATACACTAGGTGCAGGGATAGATTCGCCATTAGGCGACACCATGTTCAAATAAATGTAGTTACTATTTGCACCTCAGTATTTTAGTAGGCCTACATTATAAAACAGTAGGCCTGTGCAATAACAACATATTCAGTGAAAATTATATTAAATGAATTATGCCTTTTTGGTTCCCTTCACCCTCCAGATAAACACTTTATTATTAAATAACCGTAAGGCACTTTAATTCCACTTTTGTCATATTTTCAAATTGGTTAAAATTCATGAAATGCCAAGAGGGGTAATAATGCAACTGGACTTGTTTGTAATGTGTCTGTAATTTAAAGTGACCAATGCTTTGGCAATGTAAAGTGAAAATTACTACAGTATGAGGTGTAAAAAAAACACACAGACAAAAAAAGGTTTATACAATGATGTACTGTATTCAATAATGACTTGGTACATATGTGATTAAAAGACACATGACATTTATTTGTCCTCTCTTTAACAACCAAAGCTTTAAGTGCTCTGCCATAAGGTCATGGGAAATGTGCGCAAACGTTGGAAAGAGGAAAAAAATGCGCAAAAGAGAAACAACCAAACACAGAGTTTTGCCTCCCGCTTGTGTCGAATTCAATCTCATACTCGCCACAGAGCCTCATTTACACACAGTACAAACTCCAAACACACACATTAAATCATAAGCAGAACTGACAATTAAGTTTTCAAGTCTGAGAGTTTAATTCTTCAGTGAGGCGGTTTCATTTTTTACTATTCAAATAAAGAAAAGGCCAGTGTTTCCTAGGGCTCTGCGATAATTCAAATACAAACACACTCAAGCACCACAGATATTAAAGTAATCTTGTTTTGGCCGATTTACTTGTTATGAGCACTAATTTTATTATACTGGAATGGCACTCTCCACAAACAGGGTACAAAACAGGGCCTGAGTTGCTTAACGAAATGAAGCATTTTTTCCCTTTTCAGCGAGTTGTTGGTGAAAGGAGGTGCATGAAATGTTTATAATCATCCTCAGGAGGCCGTTTAACGCTCTATTTATTTTATGAGGTCCTGTTGTCAAAATATGGGAGGTATGTATATATATTTTTGCATTGGGGTCAAATCATGATGACATGGAAACCGGACAGCTAAACATGATTTTTGGTCTTAAAGGAGTAGTTCACTTTTGCTGATAATTTACTCACCCGCATGTCATCCAAGATGTCCATGTATGTCTTTCTTCAGTCGAAAAAAAATTAAGGTTTTTGATGAAAACATTCCAGCATTTTTCTCCATATAATGGACTTCAATGGGGTCCAAACAGTTTAAGGTCCAAAAGAGAGTTTCAGTGCAAACTGCAAACTGTTCAAAGGGCTTTAAACGATTTCAGATGATGAATAAGGGTCTTATCTAGCAAAATGATCGCTCATTTAATAAATAAATACAAAGTTTAAGTTTTATAAGCTCAAATGCTTGCTTTGCTCTGTACTGTGATGCACGTTCGTGACTCTCCTGTTCGAACTCGTTCATCAAAATGAACGAATCTTTTTCCGAGTCAATTCGTTAGTTTCGTTCATTTAATGATCCAAATGACTCGGAAAAAGATTCATTCATTTTGATGAACAGGGGAGTCACGAACGCGCATCACAAAACAGAGCAAGGCGAGCATTTGAGCTTATAAAACTTTTAAAAAAAAAAATTTTTAAATGAGCGATCTTTTTGCTAGATAAGACCCTTATTGATCATCTGAAATCGTTTAAAGCCCTTTGAACAATTTGCACTAAAACTGTCTTTTGGACCTTGAACCGTTTGGTTCCCATTGAAGTCCATTATATGGAGAAAAATCCTGGAATGTTTTCATCAAAAACCTTAATTTCTTTTCGACTGAAGAAAGAAAGACATGGACGGTGATGGATGGATGACATGGGGGAGAGTAAATTATCAGCAAAAGTTTTTTTTAAAAAGTGAACTACTCCTTTAAGTAAAAGTTTTTTTTCCAATAGTAGACTTTTAATGGTCGTAATTATGACATTTTTGCATAAGAAGGTCAAGACCTCTGCGATGAGAGGGGTATCTAGAAATAGGATATTTTATTTTAAAAACAACCTAATTTTAATGCTTGGTTAAATTTACAATATATGTAATGATAATGTGTCGCCAAAAAAAAGCACTGTACTGCATTTGTGGAAAGTGCCTAATACAGTGTATCATCCTGCAAGAAGTGAAACTATGTGTAAGTGCTGATTTCTTAGGGGGGAAACCCACTCAAACATTCCCGATCCTTGCAGATAAAACAAGGCATGCAAAATACAAATGTTAAAAAGAAACATATTGGAAATGAAAGCAGTTTAGAATGGTCAAAAAATCTGTTGTCAACAGGACATTTTTATTACATGAACAATTACATGAGAGAGAGAGAGAGAGAAGTAGTCGTTGAGGTTTCATTTGAGTCAACACTAATTGCTTCAGTCACGAGTATGCATTCAGATTTTGTTCAGAAGTTGGTGTCTGGTTGCTTGTTATTAATAAAAGTACATGAGATTCTTTTTTCCCCAATTGATCAGATGTACAAATCACATGATCAGTCAACCGAAAAGTGAACGGCGGTGAGTAACAGTAAACGTTGACCAGTGGTGCGACCTGACAGGTTTTGTAAAGCTTAGAGAAGCAAGTCTACCCTGAGAAGTTTCTAGAACATGGGCAAGCTTGCCAGACCACCCCTGGCTCTATGTGTTTGGTTAATATAACTGTACACTCTATTAAATATCATCAGCACGCTAGTGTCAAGGACCTAAGATATATCCCTTTCAGTAAATGTGTAATATCTATATATATTTACATATGTTTTAAGATCTGACCCTCAGTACTATTAAGACATGTGCAAGTGTTTTCTAACAACCTCAACAAGACATGAAGGCAAAGAACACAAAATTCAGAGTAATTGCTGTACTTTCTTCAATATCTCACATTTTTCTAAGTGCTGCGTGTATTTTTCTCGTGTCATGTAAATATCGAGTATAAAACATGATACAGTAGGAAAGGAACGTCAATGTTTTTATAATATAATAAATAAAAAAACAGTATTTCAATCAACAGCAGCAAAAACGCACCAATGAAGAACATCTGGATTCATCTGCGCTATTATTATTATTCGATTTCACGGTTCGCGGGGTCTAAAAAGCATGTTTTAGTGTTCACAAAGTTACAGAAAACAAACAGGCCGTCCTTTGAGGGAAAGAGTGTTTGTTTCGCTTTGGTCATTGTGTTCAGACTTCAAATGCATTCAGTGTGTTTGCTTTTGATTTAGTGTTATTCAGTATTAGACCTGAAACAGACTCAAAGCAAGGATGTGAATGCCACAGTATTTCTATCGACACAAGCGAAATGTGTTCACTGATATAACACAAGCACACTTGACCAAACATTTAATGAGCCCCACTTACTCTCATAGTATTTTTTTTTTTTTACTCAATGGGGTCCAACAATTTTTTGGTTCCTGATATTCTTCAAAATATCGTCTTTAGTGTTCAACAGATCAAAGAAACTCATGGAACTTAAAGGGATAGTTCACTTTGAAATTAATTTTTGGTATGTTTTATCTTACCTCAAGAGCATCAAAGATGTAAGTGTCTTTGTTTCCGCAGTAGTTTCAATTTTGATATTTTTAGGTCAAACCGTTCTTGTCTGTCCGTCATATAATGGAGGTCTATGGTCACCACCTCATTAAACATGATTTAATGACTCGTAAATGTAAGTACACATTGATGGCCTAAGACACGAAACGCTTGTATATATAATTGAATCATGTTTAATTTGGACTTCTCTGTGCATGCTCTTTGAGGAGGTGACCATAGACCTCCATTATATGACTGACAGACAAGAACGGTTTGACCTAAAAATATCAAAATTGAAAATACTGTGGAAACAAAGACACCTACAAGGCTTGGATGCCCTTGAGGTAAGCTAAAACATACCAAAAATTCATTTCAAAGTGAACTATCCCTTTAAGGGTGAGTAAACGATGTCAGAATTTTAGCTTTTGGGTGAACTATCCCTTTAAAACAACCTGAACATGTAAAAATGATTGACAGGCAGAGAGCATTTGATTGGCTAACAACCACGGGCCGTTTGACTCCGTTTTATCGTCTACAGAGTATTGTTCAATCACAGAGACAGGTGTGATTTCTCAAGACACCCATTTCTGTGATATCTGTCAGGTAAACATAAAATACTGTGTGTGCTTTTCCAAAATAAAAGAAAAAACTCAATGTGCTAAAGAAGCATTCACAGCTTGAGAAGAGTGTGTTTCCGGCCTTTGAATAATTATCATGAAGTAAAATTTCCATGAATCTCCTGCAGTAGAAAGAGCACCTGGAAATAAGTATCAAAATCACTGGAATACAGCAAATGAGACCAAGTGCTCATGGGATGATAAAGAAACAAAGCGCACTAAAATCTGATCTCCAGTATGTCATAATTTGAGTTGAAGTGCATTTATTTTAAACTCCCCGCTAAAATGTCTTAATTATATAAAAAAAATGAGCTTACACTGCCTTAGATAAGCATTCAGTCATTCTCCACAGGAAGTGACATCAGAAGGAGGATCAAGTTATTCCGTTCGGACTCTCGTGCGGGAGGAAACACAGACGGATGGATGGATGAAGAATGATAAAACGAGTACACCCGAGACCACGACTGGATCACTGATCAGTTTAAAACATATGCATGCTAACAAACCCCGTCCCACCCCATTAGTCTCTCCGTCGGTGGTCTTTCAGGCTCCTTTAAATCTTACACTTATATCCAAACGTCTGGGCGTAAAGGTGAGCTTGAAGCGTTAGAGGTCACAGGAAGTGTGTTTGCGTGAGACCAGCTCGTCGGGACAGTGAGGTACAGGTGTGATGAATTATTGAGGATGTGCAACTTAGCCTTTTTCTCTGGATTTCCAGTACAAATATCAATAAATGACTGAATATATTGCGTTTTTAAATCCTCAAAATTAAGTTTGTGCCTAAAACAGAATAAAGAAAAAATGTATCTTGCAATTCTGACTTTTTTCCCTAAGTATTGGTAGATATACACTTGCAATTGTGAGGGAAAATGTCAGAATTGTGAGATAAAAAGGCGAAAGGAATTGAATTCAAGAATCGACCCACTGACAGATAATTCCTATTTTTTTAAAGGAGTAGTTCACTTTTGAAAAAAAACTTTTGCTGATAATTTACTCACCCCCATGTCATCCAAGATGTCCGTCTTTCTTTCTTCGGTCGAAAAGAAATTAAGGTTTTTGATGAAAACATTACAGGATTTTCTCCATATAATGGACTTCAATGGGGTCCAAACGGTTCAAGGTCCAAATGAGAGATTCAGTGCAGCTTCAACGGGCTTTAAACAATTCCAGACGATGAATAAGGGTCTTATCAAGTGAAACGATCGCTCATTTATTAAATAAATAACAAAGTTTAAGTTTTATAAGCTCAAATGCTCGCCTTGCTCTGTTCTGGGACGCACGTTTGTGACTCTCCTGTTCATCAAATTGCGAGCATTTGAGCTTATAAAACTTAAACTTTGTTCGTTTTTTTTTTTAAATGAGCGATTGTTTCGCTAGATAAGACCCTTATTCATCGTCTGGTGTCGTTTAAAGCCCTTTGAAGCTGCACTGAAACTCTCGTTTGGACCTTGAACTGTTTGGTCCCCATTGAAGTCCATTATATGGAGAAAAATCCTGGAATGTTTTCATCAAAAACCTTAATTTCTTTTCAACTGAGGAAAGAAAGACATGGACATCTTGGATGACATGGGGGTGAGTAAATTATCAGCACAAGTTTTTTCAAAAGTGAACTACTCCTTTAAGACCAAACAACTTCTCACTTCAATTATTTGTTTTTGAAGTAAATCTATTTTGTTTCGTTATTTGTGTTGGAAAACAAGAGTAGAAAAAGCATTTGTTTTTTGCAGTGTGTGAACTGTGCACAAGAGCCCTGGTGTAAAACCTCAAAGTATCCAACCAAAAAAATGACACGTTCACGAAATCAAAAATGCATCTACCGTCGTACCGACTTTTTTTTTTTTTTTTTTAAACATTTCCTTTTTTCTAGTTTTTTGCCGTTTTTCTCTTTTTATAGTATCGCTCAAGTATATCACAGGTTACTATCTAGAGAGGAAATAGAGGGTAAATTATGTTCCATGCTACATCTTGTTCAGAGAAGGCTATTGCAGACGATTTCTACAACACACACACAATCACACGTTGTACGCTTGTATAACAAAAGTTCCAAAACATGTCACCGAGAAACTAAATACATACGCAGTGTTCACTATTTAGAGTCTTTAAGGACTATCCCTCGGTCAGAGTGAAGCTGTCGCACGTCACTCGACTCCGTGTCCCGTCTTACAGACAAAAGTTGAAAAATTGCTATTCAAAAATTAGCAAATTTGGTCATTGTCTCTCTCTTTTTGTTGTTTGTTTTAAATAAGTAGTGCTTTTTTGATGGCTTAAGACAGAGGTCTTTTATTTGAATAATCTCACCCAGTGGCAATCTACAAGACGTCAGTGTGCATTTCATGACACCGCTACGCTGCGTTTCTCTCCTCCGCTGTTTAAAACAACACCAGCTAGTGCTGCGACGTAGAATTCAAAGTTGCTTTATCAAAATAGCTAAAACGTGTTTATAAATAGGGTTTTCCCGTGCGACGGTCTCCTCCTAGAACTCCCACTCGAGCGTTTCCTCGCGGTTGGCGGCCCGCTCCAGCCGATGGATGATGTTGTTGAGGTTGGCCATCTTCTCGTTGCGTCTCTGAGTGCTTTTGTTGAGTTTGGGGTTGAGCGAGGGCGACTCCAGGCTGTAGTTGGTCGGGGCCGGAAGGGAGGGCAGCGATGGAGAGATGGGGGCGGACGAGGACGGGACGGGGGACACGGACATCATGAGGCCGGGCGAGGAAGCGGCCGAGGGCGAGTTGAGGGACACCTCCAGGCTGCTCCGGGACGGTTCGGACGAAGCTTTGAAGCTGACGGGGTCCTCGGGCGACTCCGCTGAGCTGTTCCTCTGAGGACCCTGACTGAGGCCCACCTCCTCGTCCCCTCGGCCCGGGTCGCTCTTCAGCGGAGAGAACTGGATGCCCACGGAGAAACATTTGGCCTGCCTCACACGCAGCTCCTCGTCCTCGTCCTCCTGCTTGAAGCTGAAGCGTCGACCGTGGGCGCCCGAGAGCTGATTCCTGTCGTCCCGGTCCGACGCGGGGCTGTGGGACGCCAGGGGGGAGTAGTTGTTGTGTTCGGCGTCCGTGTCGTTGTCTTGGAGGCCCTCCATCAGGACCTCTCGCCGCATACGGGACCTGATGATGGTAAAACAAGCTCATTGGGAACACTTTACAACAAGGTTCATTAGTAGAGCCAGACCGATATATTCGCCGGCCGATATTAGGCATTTTCCAAACTATCGGTATCGGCAGTTATAATGGCCGACAAATGAATATTTCAAAAATAAAATAAAAACGGACGAATCACGCTTGAACCATGTCATGAGTGTTGGAGTTGTATAGTTTGTCCACCAGAGGGCACTCTACACCGTTCCTGTTGGCAACACTCATTGAGTTGTTCACGATGCATACATTGCTTGAATAATAATTAAAAGAACATCCCCATCAGTTCTCTGAACTCAAATAAGCATGAAAAAATTTGTGACTATCATGTCCAGTTTAAAATAAATAAATAAAATATCGGCCGATATATCGAAATATCGGATTTTAAAACCCCAAAATATATGTATCGGTATCGGCTTTCAAAATCATTTATCGGTCGGGCTCTAATCATTAGTTAACTAGAACTAAGAATGAACAATACTACTTTAGCATTTTAGTTAATATTAATGTCAACATTCAATAATATGTTATTAAAATCAGAGGTTGTATTTGTTAATGCATGTGAACCAACAATGAAGAGCTGTGCTTTTATTAACTTACCTTTAGCTTTAGCTTACCTCGAGCCGAGGGCATCCAAGATGTAGGTGTCTTTGTTTCCGCAGTAGTTTCAATTTTGATGTTTTTAGGTCAAACCGTTTGTGTCTGTCAGTCATATAATGGAGGTCTATGGTCACCACCTCAAAGAGCATGCACGAGCGGTTTGTGTGAGAAAACGAACCGTAACAAGAGGTAAAAACGATATAAATACTGTTCGTTTTCTCACACAAACCGCTCGTTTCGTGTCTTAGGCCATCAATGTGTACTTACATTTACGAGTCATTAAATCATGTTTAATCTGGACTTCTCTGTGCATGCTCTTTGAGGTGGTGACCATAGACCTCCATTATATGACTGACAGACAAGAACGGTTTGACCTAAAAACATCAAATTTGAAACTACTGCGGAAACAAAGACACCTACATCTTGGATGCCCTTGAGGTAAGATAAAACATACCAAAAATTAATTTCAAAGTGAACTATCCCTTCAACAAAGATTAATAAATACTGTAACATATCTATTGCTCATTGTTAGTTCATGTTAGTTTATACATTAACTGATGCTAACTAATGAACCTTATTGTAAAGTGTTAACGATACATTTACTGTGTGAATGCACAGTATACTGCCTTCTGTTGTTATTTTTGCAGTGAGCTATATTGTTGTCACATGATCTAACCAGTGTTGTTATTGTTAACTAAAACTATTAAAATGGAAAACAAAAAACAAAAAAACATGATAGACTAACTGAACTAAATTACTGAAATTAAAACTGAAATAAAAACGAAAATAAATAAATGAATTGAAAAAATAATAAATACTAATAATGTATAAACAATTCTACAATAACTAACAACTGGATCTCACTGCATTGCATGTGTAATTCAGTGCATCCAGTTATCATCTGAAAATTAACATTTGGATAAAAAAATAGTTTGCTGCTGATGTGAGAGCTTTGCATTGTGGGATACTGTATCCTACAGTGTACTCTGGTTGGGGGTACCAAAGGTAAAATTATCATTGAAAAAGTCTACTATGCCAATGTTAATAATATAGGACTGGTGCAGTTATATCCCTCAAATGTCCAGCAGGGGGAGCCATCCCCTCATTTACAGCTTCAAAAAGTTTGAACACAATCTCTTTTAGCTGACTTTTTACAAGTAAGTAGCAGAAAGGTTCAGACTGGTACCTGTAGTTGTGGAACCAGTTGATGACGGTGTTGGTTTTGAGGTTGAGCTGGGCGGCCAGCATCTCGATGGTGTGCTGAGAGGGGTACGGCTCCTGGAGATACGCTTTCCTCAGAGCCTCCTTCTCCTCCGCCGCCAGCACCACTCGAGGTTTCTTGGCTTGGCTGAACGGGCAGAGCTCCAGCGGGGTCAGACCTGGACTGATGCAGTCAGAATGAGCGCCGGGGGAATCGCTGTCTGAGCCGGGACTCAACAGACCGTATCGCCTCTTCAGATACGCTGGAGAAAACAAGAGGCAGAGACTTTTTGTATTAGACTTACAATAGTTTTACAATTTCACGCAGGCTCACTATTCGGTCATGTGACTTACATCACAGAAGCGCTGCGCTGTTACACTACGTGAAATCTCAAGGCCAACAAAGAAGGAAATGAATAGTTAAATAAAGTCGTTATTTTTGTTTGTTTTTCACTCACAGAAAGTGTTCTCGGACGGATGCTGAAAACTGTCAAGGAATGTAGGTGAGTCGACTGAGTGCCTGTTCATTAATATTATTATTACTTGCATATTGTATATTTACAGTCTGTCACAGCCTTTATATTTGTATATATAAACCATACGTAAACTGTTCATTGCATGTACATAGCTTGTAATATATTTACATTCTTGCTGAAGCACTTCTGGATGGATGCAATTGCATTTTGTTGCTTGTAATTGTGAAATGACAATAAAGTTGAATTCTATTCTATTCTAATTCTATATATGTATTTATCTCATGCTGATGGGAGACACTCAAAAAATGCTGGGTTATTTTAACCCAACTTTGGGTCAAATATGGACAAACCCAAACCCAAGTGTTGGGTTAAAAATGTAATAAAAAAAAATTAACCCAATGGCTGGGTTTGTCCATATTTGACCCAAGGTTGGGTTAAAACAACCCAGCAATTTTAGAGTGTAGTCATGATGATTGCTGATAAGTTAAAGGGTTAGTTCACCCAAAAATGACCCGGTACAATAAACAAACTAAAATGAAAAATGATAGTTCACTCAAGAACCCCGCCATCATTTACTCGCCCTCGTGTCATTCCAGACCCATTAGGGTTGTTTTAACCCAATTTTGGGTCAAATATGGACAAACCCAAACGTTGGGTTAAAAATGTCATTAAAAAATGTAACCCAATGGCTGGGTTTGTAAATATTTGACCCAAAATTGGGTTAAAACAACCCAGCAATTTTTAGTCATGATGATTGTTGATGATAAGTTAAGAAATCTCAAGGCCAACAAAGAAGGAAATGAATAGTTGAATAAAGTCGTTATTTTTGTTTGTTTTTTGCTCACAGAAAGTGTTCTCATCGCTTGATAAAGTTAAGATTGAGTCACTCGGACTATTTTAACGATGTCTTTAATAACTTTTCTGGGCCGGCTAGTTTCAATCCCTTAGAAGCCTATGGAGGAGTGATCCAGCTCTCAGATTTAATCAGAAATATCTTAATTTCATATTCCGAAAATGAATGAAAGTCTTACGGGGTAATTACTAATAGACTTTTCATTTTGGGGTGAACTATCTCTTTAATATCTTCCGTCATTTTGCTTCTCAAGTAAATCTTGATTAAAGAATGATTAGATATTTGTAGTGGAAAATAAAGTGCACGTAATAAAAGTGATTGAATGACTGAAGAACTGAATAGATGTTTGTTCTTTATTACCTTTCTTCTCCATTTTCTTGACATCTCTGAGTTTGTCCACGTTGTGCGGGTCGTTGAGCCACAGCTGCATGCGGACGAATGGCTCTCGACCCTTCAGACTGAGCTTATGCCAGGGCTTCGGCCTGGACAGCAGATCAGACACTGAACCCTGGGTCAATCCCAGAATGCTCTCTCCAAACAGACGCTGACCTGCACAAACACATATACTGTTACTAATCTGGCCTACAGTCTTTATAATTCTCCTTAGTTGTATGTTCGACATGAATCAAAGTGTCGGTTTCAATGAATAGATGTTTTTAACTACCTGTCATGGGTGTGCTAAAAGTCTCCCTGTGGTGAAATCCAGCTTTTAATGTTGTTTATATGTCTATGTGGTGCGCGCATCACAGAACAGAGCAAGGTGAGCATTTGTGCTTATAAAACTAAAACTTATTTATTTATTTTTTTAAATGAGCGATCGTTTTCTCTAGATAAGTGGTGTCGTTTAAAGCCCTTTGAAGCTGCACTGAAACTCTCATTTGGACCTTGAACCGTTTGGACCCCATTGAAGTCCATTATATGGAGAAAATCCTGGAATGTTTTCATCAAAATCCTTAATTTCTTTTCGACCAAAGAAAGAAAGACATGGACATCTTGGATGACATGTGGGTGAGTAAATTATCAGCAAAAGTGTTTTTAAATATTGAACCGTATTGTGACCGTACTGACTCTGCGGTATGAGAACCGAACTGAGCTGGACGATGACATCACTGTTTTCTGCAGAGCTGCTTTATAGCCAAATTGAACTCAGTTAATAATTGATGATCTTTATAAAGGAACTGAATCAACACTGAAATGACTTCAGCTGAACAATTCAATTCTTTTTAAAGCTGCTTTACAGCCAAACTGAACTATGTTTGCACCATTGAAATATCATTTTCATGTTCTCACGTAAAGCTGCTGTGAAACGATCTGTATTGTATAAAATGCTATAAAAATAAAGGCAAGGATGCATTCAATTGATCAACAGTGACAGTAAAGACATTTATAATGTTACAAAAGATTTATATTTCTATGACATGTTCTATTGAAATTCCTATTCATCGAAGAACCTGGAAAAAATACATCACAGTTTCCACAAAATAACTTTTTTTTAGCATTGAAAATAAATAGAAATGTTTCTTGAGCAGAAATTCATCATATTAGAGTGATTTCTGAAGGATCATGTGACACTGAAGACTGGAGTAATGATGTAAGACTGGAGAAAATTCAGCTTTTGATCAAAGGAATAATATATTCATATAGAAAATTAAATATTTTAAAAGATTCTTGGAGAACACTTTTGAACAGTGCACCTCATCGTCTGTGTGCTAAAATGCTGTCATTCACAAAGTGTGTGTTGTGCAGTAAGTCACCCAAGTTGTTGTCCGTCAGAACTTCCTTCACTCTCTTGGTGATGGCGTACGTGTCCAGCTCCGGAGACATGGCCACCAGCTCCTGGATGCCCAGCGGTGTGTGTGTCTGCTGGGGGACGCTCACACACGGGCTGCTCTTCCCTCCGTGAGGATCCACACGCTGAGGCTGCTGGTTCTCCTTACTGCTCTCCAGCGCCAGACTCACGGGCTCCAGGCTCATGTTGGGCTGACCGTCTTCAGGACTCAGAGGAGGGGACGGGGACGAGCGGGTCGTCACGGGGCTCTTATCTGAGAAGCAACAGACAAAAATCATGTTAGTGTTTCACACATACAAATAAGTCCGATAGAATAGATTGTATGGACATTTGGCGTGCTGTCTGAGGGAGGGCTCCGGGCTCGTATTTGACCCGAACCCAGAGTACCCCAAACGGAGGGATGCTGAAAACTGTCGACTGAGTGCCTGTTTATTAATATTAATACTTGTGTAATGTATATTTATTGTCTGTCATAGCCTTTATATTTATATATATATATATAAACCATACGTATAAACTGTTCATAGCATGTACATAGCTTGTAATATATTCACATAGCATGCTAAAGCACTTCTGGATGGATGCAATTGCATTTTGTTGCTTGTACTTGTGACATGACGATAAAGTTGAATTCTATTCTATTCTAATTCTATATATGTATTTATCTCATGCTGATGGGAGACACTTAAAAAATGCTGGGTTATTTTAACCCAACTTTGGGTCAAATATGGACAAACACAAACCCAAGTGTTGGGTTAAAAATGTAATAAAAAAAAAAATAAATTTAATGATTGTTGATAAGTTAAATGGTTAGTTCACCCAAAAATGACCCGGTACAATAAACAATATTATGTAATGGTAGTTTAAAATGAAAAATGATAGATCACTTAAGAAATCCGCCATCATTTACTTGCCCTCGTGTCATTCCAGACCCATTAGACTTTCAATGCTGGGTTGTTTTAACCCAATTTTGGGTCAAATATGGACAAACCCAAACGTTGGGTTAAAAATGTCATTAAAAATGTAACCCAATGGCTGGGTTTGTCCATATTTGACCCAAAGTTGGGTTAAAACAACCCAGCAATTTTTAGTCATGATGATTGTTGATGATAAGTTAAATGGTTCGTTCACCCAAAAATGATAAAAAATAGAAAAATGATACGGTACAATAAACACTATAATATAATGGTAGTTTAAAATGTAAAAAGATAGTTCACTCAAGAAATCCGCCATCATTTACTCGCCCTCGTGTCATTCCAGACCCATAAGACTTTCAATGCTGGGAATTTTGGGTCAAATATGGACAAACCCAAACATAAAAATGTAATTAAAAAATTTGGGTTTGTCCATATTTGACCCAAAAATTGGGGTGAAACAACACTGCATTTTTTTAGAGTGGCAGATATTTTTAACGAAATTTGAGAGATTTCTATCCCTCCATTGACAGTCAAGAGATGATAAAATGAATCCATATTTCGTCCAAGTCTTCTGAAAAGATATGATCACATATGACTCACTATTTGATGAACATTCAATTAATGCCTTTATTCACATATGAACATTGATCATGAGAGTAGTTGATAATATCCCTTTAAACTTCCCCACTGTCGAAGCCCCCACTGGCGGTGTGTGTGTTGTGTGTGTGTGTGTGTGCGCAGGACTGACCCTGGTTGAGGCTGTGGTTGGGCAGCTGGTTGAGTCCGTGACCCAGCTGATCCAGCAGCCAGAGCTGCATGCGTATGAACGGCTCGCGTCCCTTCTGAGTGAGTTTGCTCCAGGGTTTAGGCCTGGATAACATGTCACTCACACTGCCCTGAGACAAACCCAACACCTGCGAGACACACACAGGCTGACACGTTCAAAATAAGTCTGAAGTAATGTCATGCATGGACACAAACCTCATCAACTATCCTAGTGACCACTAGATGGCAGCAAAAGACAAGCACTAGCAGACTGCAGGTCATTACCACACTCAAAAGTTTGGGGTCAGTAAGATTTGTTTTTAAAGAAATAATTTCATTCAGAATAGATGCAATGATCAAAAGGGACAGTAAAGACGTGTATAATATTAAAAAATATTTTTATTTCAAATAAATGCTGTTCTTTTTCCAAACAAATTACGTATATTCAAATCGAAAAACATTATTATGAACTGTTTTTACTGTTTTTTTCTTTTAAATAAATGCAGCCTTGGTGAGCAGAAGAGACTCTTGAAAAAAACATTGAATCTTACTGACCTTAAACTTTTCAACAGTAGTGTATAAAGGGCACTTGAGTTTGAAATAATAAAAGGATAGATCTGGAGTTTAAAAATAAAGATAAAGTACTAAATGAAAACAAAACAGATTATAAAAAAAACTATTCTGAAAGCAATATTCGTATTATTTTGCATGGATTGATGTACGAGACAGAGTATCAGTGCATTGCAATTGCATGCAAACCCGGTTAGAAAAATCTTCTTCAAAAAATAACAAATAAAATAACCGCAAGGCAAGCACTGTGGTCTCATTTCTTCTTTTAAACAATATGCACAGATTAATCATTCACAATAAGACCAGAAACCTGTATTAAGAAAGCAAATATAGTTTTGATTTCACATGACAAAAAAATCTGAACTTAAAGAGATAGTTCACTTTGAAATTAATTTTTGGTGTGTTTTATCTTACCTCAAGGGCATCCAAGATGCCACAGTAGTTTCAATTTTTATATTTTTAGGTCAAACCGTTCGTGTCAATCAGTCATATAATGGAGGTCTATGGTCACCACCTCAAAGAGCATGAAGAGGAGTCCAAATTAAACATGATTTAATGACTCGTAAATGTAAGTACACATTGATGGCCTAAGACACAAAACAAGTGGTTTGTGTGAGAAAACAAACAGTATTTATATCGTTTTTACCTCTTGTAACCACAGCGACGAAGCGCCCATGCCCTCAGATTAATGTGACTAAAAAATACTGTTCGTTTTCTCACACAAACCGCTCGTTTCGGGTCTCAGGCCATTAATGTGTACTTACATTTACGAGTCATTAAATCATGTTTAATTTGGACTTCTCTGTGCATGCTCTTTGAGGTGGTGACCATAGACCTCCATTATATGACTGACAGACACGAATGGTTTGACCTAAAAATATAAAAATTGAAACTACTGCAAAAACAAAGACACCTACATCTTGGATGCCCTTGAGGTAAGATAAAACATACCAAAAATTAATTTCAAAGTGAACTATCCCTTTAAAGAGGAGAATTAGATATGAATGTTTAGATGTGTGTCTAAAAAAAATTATGTTTTTTCCCGGACACAGAAACAATCGCACCTTCTCTCCGAAGATCCTCTGGCAGATCCCGTTCTTGGCCAGCTTCTCCTTCACCTGCCGCGTCAGCTCCAGGGTGTCCACCTCTCGGTACATGTACATCTCGTACTGCTCGGGGGTCAGCGGCGGGACGGTGGGCTTCAGGGTTCGAGGGATGTACGAGGGGAAGTACGACACCCGTCCCGCTCCACAGGGCGTCTCACCGCTGACCGACACGTCCGGCTCCACTTTAATCTCCACCTGCCGACCCGACACGGGCTCGTCCTCCGGCGCGGACGCTTCCTCGCCGTTCGCGGGACAGTCTCCGTTCTCCATCCGAGGCCAGGGACGAGGCATTGATGTGGACGAAGAGGAGGAGAGCGAGGGAGAGACGGAGGTGAAAGGGTGAGAGGCGCCGCTCATTCCCATCACCACAGCGCTGCGCTCCACGGACCAGTGCTGGTCGAAATACGAGCCGGCTTCCCCGATCTCAGACTTGACTTTCCGGATGATGTTTTGGACGAAGGCGGCGGGTGACAGGACGCTGAGAGGCGTCTGAGGGCTGCCGGCGGGATTGGACACGCACACCGGCACTGACACGCCCTCTTCTTGTTTGATGAAGGGCGATGTGGGGGGCGGCTGAGGTTTGGCGGGATCCTGCGGGACGAGACGTTCGCTGCTGGACCCCCGACCGCACACCTCCATCTCCAGCAGGGCCTGTTGCTGCGCCTGCATCTCCCGACGGGCCTGCTCCAGGATGCTCTTGATGGTTTCGTCAGAACTGCTGCTTCCTCCAGAGCTGTTCCGGCCCGACGAACAGCCCAGAGACGACTTGCACTCGCCTGTGCAACACCGGAGGACGAGAACACATGCATTACAGGCCAAACATGGGCTATTTAAAACACAAGAAACTAGCACTAGAACAATAATTATGATTTATTAAAATACACAATATTATTATTATTATATTTATTTTATTTTATTAAATATTAATTATTATTATTATGAAAAAAAAAAATATATATATATATATATATGTGTGTGTGTGTGTAATAAATAATAATATATTTATAAAATACATTGTATATTCTATATCTAATATAATGTATTAAAATAATTTGAAAATATTTAATTATAATAAAAACATGAATCTAAATATAATAGTAATTATTATTATTTACTGTAATATTCAAAACAGCAAGACACACGGAAACAGCCACTAGCACTAGAACGTGAATATGATTTATTAAAATACATGATATTATTATTTTTATTTTATTATATAATTATAATTAAATATAAATTATTATTAAAATATATATGTAATATTTAATGCTAATATATTTAATAAATAATAATATTATAAAATACAATGTATATTATATGTCTAACCTATCATCAGGGAACATATTTCTTTTTTTAATTACATTTTATTTATAAAAAAATATGTTCGTACACTGTAAAAATATATTGTTGGTTTAACTTAAAAAAAAAAAAAGTAACCTGGTTGCCTTAAAATTTTAAGTTTATTGAAATGGAAAAATTGAGTTAATACAATGAGATTAATTTAATCACCAGAAACTCAAAATATTATGTTATCTGAACTACATAAATCATCTAAGTTGATTTGACAAAAGAAAAAAAAATGTTGTGATTACAAATCATGAAAACATTTTTTACACCTCACAGTTATAGTTAGACTTAAAAATATGTAAGCGTTTATTATGCAATTTTTTTTCTTCTATTTATATTTATGACAAAAAGCTTTTAAATCAGGATATTTTTTCTAATGAGACAATTTTAAAGTAGATGTATTTTTTTTTTTTTGCGCAGTGCAGAAGTAATTCTGAACTATGAGTACACTAAAAAAATATTGTTGGTTTAACTTAAAAAATTAAGTAACCTGGTTGCCTTAAAATTTTAAGCTCATAGAAATCGAACAATTGAGTTAATACAACGAAGGGGATAATATAACAAAATATTATGTTGTATGAACTACATAAATTTGATTTGAAGTTGATTTGACAAAAGAAAAAATGTTGTGATTACAAATCATAAAAATATTTTTTTTTACAGTGCACATGATTCCAACAAACACACACACACACACACACCAGGCATCCCGTTATGCAAAATAATCATTTCCGTGCTGCCGTGTGTTATTGTGTGCGCTTCATAAACTTCCTGTGGATTTGGTGTCTCTGAACACACCTCTTTGTGACTGGATCTCCTTCTTGGCCTGCTCTAGAATATTCTTGATGGCATCATCTGACCCAGTTTCAGGAGTTCGGATGCGAGGAGTGATGCTCCCTGCCGGAGAGAGAGAGAGAGAGAGAGAGAGAGGTGAGTGGGCCGGCTGATCAGAGAGCAGATCCAAAGCCTTGCGTTTGATTGCCAGATCAATGGCCGCCTTTGAGAAGCTGGCATCAAGTGAGGGTGCGCTAACATGTGAAAGCTTTACTTTCAAAAGTGAGGAAGAAAACAGCGCTGTGAGAGCATCACAACAAACACAGAGCGGAAGTTGTGCACAAATACAGTGATGTACAGGAAACTGGACTGGTTCTCTCTGGGGGTCTGGAACGGTTCTGTGGGGTTGAGGATGAGACAGATGGGCTTGTGGGATCGGTCAAAGACTCAGTTCACAACACATTCATCTTCCATAATGGGGGATCACATTAGAAGGACACAGCAGGTGGAGAATATTAGTTGTGATCTCTCTTGAAACTTGTCAAGAACATTTCAGGATCATAATCACCTAAAATCGAAAGAATTTTCCTTTTATATACACACACTAGGGATGTGCATCCCTATGTCTGAGGCGCATCTCGAAACGATGCATTACAGATACATATAAGCAGCTGATGCGATCCGATTGCGACTCGATGTAATATACGATGCAATGGAGAAAAATGGATAGGTAACTTTTATTTATTTTATTCAGACATAGAGCAAATTATAAAGTAGCTTAAGTGCCATCTGACTTTGTTAACGCATCAAATACCAACAGAAATCAAAACCTGACAACCTCTGCTAGAAATCTTATAACGGGCCGTGTTTGGCCATGTCTTTTCCAACAGGACAGTGATCCACAAACAAACATCAAAATCTAAACACAAATGGGTCACTGAGGACAAAAGCCGTCCCAGTCCCTGACCCGAACCCTGTAGTAGAAGCACCGACATGGATCTGGGAATCTGCAGGATCTGGAGTCTGTATGGAGGAACGGTCTCTGATCTCTGATCAGTTGTTCTCCAAACTCATCAGGCATTAAAGGAGGTTGCAAAAAGTATTTAATAAAATGGGGGAAAATAATTGTTGCCAATGTGTTTGAGGAAAAAAAAATATTTCATAATGTGACTTTCTATTGTTTTACATCAATAAAAGGTCTGATTTTTGTAATTTTTTTGTAATATCAAAAGTATAAACAATGCAGATTTATTTTATAATAATTCTGACCAGCACTGTATATTAAAAAAAATAAATAAATTATATATATATATATATATATATATATATATATGAAGAGTTCAGATGCAAAAGCCTCTAAATGCCATTTGAAATTTTCTTCTAAAATGATCATTTTTATCAAGCTTGTATATTTAAGTTCAGTAATTACACTTAAATGACAATTAATAGGTAATCTTCATTGCCATTTAAGTGAAATTACTGAACTTAAATATACAAGCTTGATAAAAATGATCATTCTAGAAGAAAATTTCAAATGGCACCTAGAGGGTTTTGCATCTGAACTCTTCATATATATATATATATATATATATATTTAATATATATATATATATATATATATATATATATATATATATATATTAGTGCTGTCAAACGATTAAAATATTTAATCGCGATTAATTGCATTAATGTCATAGTTAACTCTCGATTAATCACACATTTTTATCTATTCTAAATGTCTTTTGATTTTTTTTTGCTACATTATTTTATTCTCATTTTAATGCTCTTATCAACATGGTAAAGTGGATTGGCTTGTTTAGTGCAAATGGTTTTTTTATTATTATTATTATTATTGAAAATAACACTGGAATAGTGCTCAATTTCAGAATAATATAAATAATCTCTCACACAATGTAACACTGTCTGTCAATAAAAGGGTGAAAGAAATAGGCCTACTGACGAGGTCCTGATATTGACGAGGGGGTGGAGAATTCGCATCAGCTGTGTGTGTGTGTGTGTGTGTTTGCTTGGCCATCATCAAGTGGTGTTTCAGACTGGACGTGCTGCGATGATGATAGCTCAGTCCACAACGACAAAACACACAGATCACTTGGTCTTGTCAATAGGACAATTTGGCAACTTTTTAAAAGTAAACTTTCCATTCAGAATCCTTGGGCATCCATTTCGGCGTCTCGCGCTCGTCATCCATTCAAAACGTAACGTTACTCTTTGGCCGGCTCACAAGCCGAAACAAGTGTGTGCGGCACAAAACGTCATCGTGCTGCGCTCTGAATTCATTTCAATGGTTTGCGCCGCGCAAGGACGTTTTATTGCTTCTTCGACCAAAGCGCAAGCGGATCTAGACCGTAAACAAAACAACAGGCAAGCCACAAACACACGTTTCGGCTTGTGAGCCGGCTTTGAGAGGAGGACGAGGCGAGTGGAGTGGAGGCGAGATGCCAAAATGGATCAGGATGCATGCCGCGTCCTGTTGCAAAAGCATGTGAAAAAACGACAAATTTTGCTAGGACAAAAAGACCGTTAATCGCGCGATAAAAAAATTAACGCCGTTAAAATGGGTTTGCGTTAACGCCGTTAATAACGCGTTAAACTGACAGCCCTAATATATATATATATATATATATATATATATATATATATATATATAACACACACACACTAAAAATGCTGTGTTGTTTTAACCCAACTTTGGGTGAAATATGGACAAACCCATACGTTGGGTTAAAAATGTAATTAAAAAATTCAACCCAATGGCTGGGTTTGTCCATTTTTGACCCAAAGTTGGGTTAAAACAACCCAGCATTTTTAGTGTGTATATATATATATATATATAGGTTGGTATAGCTAATGTGTTTGTGATGTAATAATTGATGTGATTGTCATGTAATGTCATTAAGGTGACCGTCACTGTAATGAGTGTTGCATCTTCTCTCACCTCGCTGGCGGACCTGGATGGTGCGTAATGCCAGGATGTTCTGCTCATCTGACAGGAACTGCTTCATCTTGATGAAAGGCTCTTTGCCCTTGACGGTGAGTTTTCTCCAGGGTTTGGGTCGAGCCAGGATCTCGCTGACCGAGCCCTGTGAGAGGCCCAGCACGTAGTGACCGAACACACGCTGACCGATGTTGTGTTTCAGTAACTGCTCTTTGACCTGAAAAGCGATTTCTGCAGTGTCCACCTGGTCGTCGTCTCCGCCCCCTGAGCTCCCGCTCTCCGATTGGTCGCTTGGCATGCCCGTCTCCATTGCGACTGGCATGGAGGCGTTCTGATTGGCTGACATGAGGGCCGCTTTAGCCGCGTAGAGGGCGGTGGGGAACGCCAAGATGGAGGAGCCGTCTTTCTTGAAGAGGGGAGACAGGAGCTGCTTCTGCAGGAGCTGATCTCCGGGATGTTTCTCGCCTGAGAAGGGTGACACTGAGAAGGGGCGGGGCAGTTCGTGGGTGGAGGAGGGGGTGTCAGTGTTGGGCGGGCCTGGGCTGGAGGAAGTGCGCCCATTTATGGGCAGTGTTCCTGGAGGAGAGGAATACGACCCCGCCGGGCGACTCACGTTCTTGCTGGAGTCCTCAGAATGACCCTCATCTTAAACAGAGAGACAAGACGCATGTTGATTTGGTAAAACTGAAAATAAAATCTGACTGGGTGAGCCATTTAAAGACAACTACTCAATAAATAAATAAAGTACTAAATATAAATAATTATTAATTATTTTATTTAATGATTGTATTTTATTAGAATACAGTTATTTAATAACAATTATAAAAAATAAACAAAATATATACAATTACTATATATATATATATATATATATATATAAAAAAATTCAACAATAGCCATTGACATATACATATATAAAAGCCATTTAAACAGTTAAAAAATACTTTCATTCATTTTAATTAAATCACTAATTTTAATTGATGATTAAATATTAACAAACATATATAAATCATATATACACATTATTAGTAATGATTTAATTTAATAACAAAAAATAAATGTAAAATTCAATAAAAGCCATTTATACAGTTTAAAATATTTAAAAAATATTTTTTTCTATTTCATTTTAATTTAATCACTAATTTTAATGGGTGATTAAATATTAACAAACATAAATCATATATACACATTATTAGTAAATATTTCATTTAATAACAAAGTTAATAAATAAAAACACAAACAATATATATAGAATGATACAATTTAGCTAACATATTTTACCACATAAAATGTCAAGCTGTATTTTATTTTAGTATCACTCAGATACTATTATATAGAGTATCAGTATATATATATATATTATATATATAAAATATATATATATATATATATATATATATATATATATATATATATATATAAAATATTTTGAATTATTAACCACTTTTATTGTAATTTTAGTAAAAAGAAATGGTCATTTTGTTGTGCGTGTTTGTCTTTTTTTATTAGGCTAGTTATATTTAAAAAAAAAAAAGTTATAGTTAAATATATATATAGTTATAAAATTATATAAAGTCTATATAATTTTTTTATTTCAGTAGATAAAGTTAAACTAAATGAAAATGAGATATGTTGCTTTGATAACCAGGTGAAATAAAATATTGTTTATAAAATAAATTCAATAATATTTTATTTCATTTCATTTCAAATTTATTTAAGTAACAAAAATATATATATATTTCTAATTGTGTTAGTTTTAGTTAACTATAATAACCCTTCTACGAGGTACTTCAAAATAGAATGGAAGAGTTTAGTGGCGCGTCCGTGTGCGGAAACAGACTCACCGCTGTTGTGTGAAACTCGGACTTTATCCACAAGAAATTTGTGAGAGGGGAGAAAGGCTTCTTTGTCCAGCAGCAGTGCCTCAGTGGTTTTGGCCGATTCCTACACACACACACACACACACACACACAGGCAGTTAAACTCTCATGATCAATGCAGATCTACATTATGGATGATGCTAGCGAGGCGTTTACACACAGATCACTGTGGCGTTTCCTCATTGACAAGGATGAGTTTATTTGTCCTTTAGTCGAGAGGGTCCGTAACCTTACGTCAATAAAATGCAAAGCTGTTAAAAATCCTAAAGCTCTTTGCAGGAATAACACTTGTTTCACTCACCTGGGATGAACTTCCATTGGCTGATGCCAGTTTCATGGCTTTCAGGATGCTGCAGGACACACAACCACACGTTAACATCATCGTCCTGATGCATCATCGCTATATCTGTGTTCCTGGGAAGCTCACCTGAGTTCTGTTTTGATCTCTTCATAATCCATCTGAGACTGTAGTTTGGCCTCCAGGGTCTACAGACACATCACGATGTTAATTATGGGTCATTGTTAAATCAATACAGTCATGAGAGAAGCTGAAAGAACCAATATGTTGTAGTATGATCTGTCTGGTTTCTTGTAAAATGTATAAGAAAGAAACACACATCGATTTAAAATTGCATGAAATTGCTAAATTTTGCATCATCTTTTATGTTCACAGAGACTGCATTTATTTGATACATCATTGCGATTTCAAAAAACAGTTTTTTATGCGAATACATTTTTGAATTTTCAGCATCATTACTCCAGTCTTCAGTGTCACATGATCCTTCATCTCTGATTATTATTGATCATTTCTGATAGTTTGTGGAAACTGATACATTATATTTTTCAGGATTCCTTAATTGAAATATAAATATTTTGTCACATTATAAATGCCTTTTTTGTCACTTTTGATGCTTAATGAATATTAATTTCTTTAAAAAAATGTTTGAATGGCAGTTTACAGAAAGTTTGTTTATTTACACAATTTGTGCACTATTTAACACACGTAATGAATTTCTGGACTTTAAGATGTAATGTAAACTGCCTTAGATAAAAGTACTGTAAATGGAGCTGAGAATACTATATGTGACTGAAATCTGAAATCAAACTTAAATCATAATTAAATTAGCCAAAAATATTTAATAAACAACATGCAAGAGTGGAAAATATTAATGAAGGAAATGCAACTTTAAAACAACACAAACTGCAACAGTGGTTATCGAGCTACATAGAAACAATTAACGGAGTACTTCACTTTTAAAAACACTTTTGCTGATAATTTACTCGCCCCCATGTCATCCAAGATGTCCATGTCTTTCTTTCTTCAGTCGAAAAGAAATTAAGGTTTTTGATGAAAACATTCCAGGATTTTTCTCCAAATAATGGACTCAATGGGGTCCAAACGGTTCAAGGTCCAAATGAGAGTTTCAGTGCAGCTTCAAAGGGCTTTAAACGACACCAGACGATGAATAAGGGTCTTATTTAGTGAAACAAGGGGTCAATTCAAAAATAAAGTAACGTTCGAACTCTCAAAATGAGAGTTCGAACTCAATTCATTTCGTTCTTTGAACAAACCAAATGACTCGAAACAAGATTTGTTCATTTTGATGAACGAGTTTGAACAGGAGAGTCACGAACGTGCATCACAGAACAGAGCAAGGCGAGCATTTGAGCTTATAAAACTTAAACTTTGTTATTTATTTATTTAATGAGCGATCATTTCGCTTGATAAGACCCTTATTCATCGTCTGAAATGATTTAAAGCCCTTTGAACAGTTTGCAGTTTGCACTGAAACTCTCATTTGGACCTTGAACCGCTTGGACCCCATTGAAGTCCATTATATGGAGAAAATCCTGGAACGTTTTCATCAAAAACCTTAATTTCTTTTTGACCGAAGAAAGAAAGACATGGACATCTTGGAAATAAATTATCAGCAAAAGTTTTTTTCAAAAGTCAACTACTCCTTTAAGCTGGTGGTAAAAGTATACTTTTAAACTATAATATACTGACCTCATATGAATGAAGTTTGATTTGCTCTCACCTCTATAGCTTCTGACTTATAGGCCAGCTGCCGCTCCAGCTCTGCTATCTGATTGGCCGATGAGTCCTGGACTTCCTGTAAGGTGAACTGGAGTCTCTGGACGTTCTCGAGCAGTCTGAGGATCTCTCTGTCCTTGGAGAACAGCACCACCTCCAGCCGTGACAGCGAGCCCTCGTCTCGCTCCTCACGCTCCCTCTCCTGAGACCACCAATGAAAGGAGGAGATCAGGGGGACATGAAACTCTCTTTTCAACTTCAAAATACCATCCCGCTCTCTGGCTTCCTGTAATCACGTCGCCTCAAAGAGCCACTAATGAGGTTCCAGTGGTGTGGGAGCAAGTGATTATTTCCCTGCACTTCTGATTGGACATGTTAAGGTGGCAATTTGTGGCGTCCGGCTTTCATCTAAAAGCGAGACTCGGTCTTTACCTCGTTGGGTCGGTCTTCAGACGGGCCGGTCCCTTTAGAAGTGCTCTGAGTGCCGGCGAGCTGCTCCCTCAGCCTCTCCACCTCCCTCTGGGCCAAATCTGCTCTCTGACATCAAACACACAAGTTTGCACAACTTTAGAGGAGCTGAACATCCGGCTTGTGTGTACCGTAACGCCAAGAAGTTTTCAGGCTCTTGTATCACACTTAAAGGAGTAGTTCACTTTGAAAAAAACTTTTGCTGATAATTTACTCACCCCCATGTCATCCAAGATGTCCATGTCTTTCTTTCTTCAGTCGAAAAGAAATTAAGGTTTTTGATGAAAACATTCCAGGATTTTTCTCCATATAATGGACTTCAATGGGAACCAAACGGTTCAAGGTCCAAATGAGAGTTTCAGTGCAAACTGCAAACTGTTCAAAGGGCTTTAAACGATTCCAGACGATGAATAAGGGTCTTATCTAGCGAAACGATCTCTCATTTAAAAAAAACAACAACAAAGTTTGAGTTTTATAAGCACAAATGCTCGCATTGCTCTGTTCTGTGATGCGCGTTTGTGACTCTCCTGTTTGAACTCGTTCATCAAAATGAACAAATCTTTTTTCGTGTCATTTGGTTCATTCAACGAACGAAATGAACGAGTCGATGGGACTCGTTTTGTTCATTTTGATGAACGAGTTCGAACAGGAGAGTCACGAACGCATCACAGAACAGAGCAAGGCGAGCATTTGTGCTTATAAAACTTAAACTTTTTTTTTTTTAAATGAGCGATCGTTTCGCTTGATAAGACCCTTATTCATCGTCTGGAATCGTTTAAAGCCCTTTGAACAGTTTGCAGTTTGCACTGAAACTCTCATTTGGACCTTGAACCGTTTGGTTCCCATTGAAGTCCATTATATGGAGAAAAATCCTGGAATGTTTTCATCAAAAACCTTAATTTCTTTTCGACTGAAGAAGGAAAGACATGGACATCTTGGATGACATGGGGGTGAGTAAAGTTTTTTTTTAAAGTGAACTACTCCTTTAACGCTGTAAAGTTTGAAATTATAGTCAGAAAAAATTAACCAAACAGTTTAATTGAAACTGTGATACTCCAATTTCTAAGGTTTCAGATTTAAAACTTTAACGATAAAAACTGACGATGTCCGTGGTGGTTACACGAGGTAAAAACGATATAAATACTGTTCGTTTTCGCACACAAACCGCTCGTTTCGTGTCTTAGGCCGTCAATGTGTACTTACATTTACGAGTCATTAAATCATGTTTAATCTGGACTTCTCTGTGCATGCTCTTTGAGGTGGTGACCATAGACCTCCATTATATGACTGACAGACACGAATGGTTTGACCTAAAAATATAAAAATTGAAACTACTGCAAAAACAAAGACACCTACATCTTGGATGCCCTTGAGGTAAGATAAAACATACCAAAAATTAATTTCAAAGTGAACTATCCCTTTAAAACTACAGAGCTTTGATCATGAAACATTTGATCTTAGTAAATATCATCTTGCTAAGACATATTATTGGGAATTGACAGCTGATATTAATATGCATTTTATATATGCAAGTAGTCTGCTATACTCTTATAAAGATCTCACTGATTTACATTACAAGCATCAGAATTCCATCTGCACCAAATTCAATTGCATATTTTTGCAGTTTTAGCCTCTGATTAAAATCTGAGCTCCATATCCTCACTATATGGGTCTAATAAACAGTTGGATCATTATTGTCAGGCTTTACAGGGTCAACGTGGTTTAATAATTGTGATAATATACTACCCTACTTTTCCATCTTACATTATGGCAACACAAAAACGATAAAAGCCACAGATAAAGCATCTAACGAAGCATCAATGCTAAAAAAATGCTTCATGTCTTTTTAAATAAGATGAATTTCCCAAACACATCCATTTCACTTTAAGACCAAAATCACTTGAACGAGAATCATAATTATGACTTCCCAACTCGTACACAGGAGCTTCCCATGAGGACGCAGTTCCCAGAAAAGCTTCCGCAGCATTTCAGCACAGATGACACTTGCTTTGATAGTTTATTTCTAACACAACGACATTCACGCGTTTATAAGTAGAACTCTAGTGTCAATACTGTCTCGATTTGCACTGTTTGCAAACTGACTTAAAACGTGTCTTTCTTGAACATAAATGATGCTCACTTTGATATCTTGCATGCAACGATTTTCAGACACTTTTATGTCTTCTTTTCACTCAATGTAAACGCAGACTGTTGTTTAGTAAAATACCGAGCAATCAATACAAATCAGGGCCAAACATTCGCAGAGATCCATCATCAAATGAACAATCAGGCCGGACGGAACGAGAACGCCCTCGAAACCCCAATCAGACGAGCCTCGCAGGAGCAGAGAAACATCCGCAGGTGAAACGGCGAGTCTGCTCCGTTCTGCTGAGGTGCGCGTTTACTTGCAGGCACTTTCTTCTCAAACTGTTTACCTGCTCTGTCACACTCGGCCTGCTAATTAATGACTCATTTTCGAATCATTTATCTAAGAGCTGCTGGCAAAGGGAGAAAAAGCAAATCACAGTGGAAAAAAAGGAAGCAATCAGCGCAATGAAGTAACTAACAGCCCTCCTCGTTCGCCACATCTCTCTCTCTCCTGTCCTCCGCCGCCCGCACGGCATCATGGGAAAGAGTGGTGGGTAATCACGGGTCTGCGAGAGCGAGGGCGAGGAGGGTGGTGGGGGAGGAAGAGGGTCTAATTAAACTCAAAGCTTGATTAGGAAGGTGATTATCTTCACGACGACGGCGTCTCAATCAGAGGCTGAGAGGAGGGCACACACTCACCTGGTTGGCCTTCTCCAGGTTCACCATTAGAGCTCCCATCTCCTCCACTCTGGAAGACACAAAACACACGTTAAACATCCAACCTCCATCACACATCCCACTGAAGTGATGACAAGCGGTTCACTGAGTACCGGCCACCAACGGGAGGGAGTTATTTGGACATTTTTTGCCAAGCTACACGTTACACATAAAGGATTAAAAAAACATAGTAACTAAAAATCACAAAGATAGACTTTAATTATGGCTTAGATAAAGTAGTCCGACTTCAGATAGACACCGCTGCACAAAGCGCTTAAAGGAGTAGTTCACTTTTAAAAAACTTTTGCTGATAATTTACTCACCCCCGTGTCATCCAAGATGTCCATGTCTTTCTTTCTTCAGTCGAAAAGAAATTAAGGTTTTTGATGAAAACATTCCAGGATTTTCTCCATATAATGGAGTTCAATGGGAACCAAACGGTTCAAGGTCCAAAAAAAGGTCAAAAAGTTATGGTCCAAAAGAGTTTCAGTTTCAGTTTCAAAATCAACTAATCTTTTTCCGTGTCATTTGGTTCATTCAACGAACGAAATGAACGAGTTGACTCTGGAAAAGGTTTGTTCATTTTGATGAACGAGTTCGAACAGGAGAGTAACGAACGCATCACAGAACAGAGCAAGGCGAGCATTTGAGCTTATAAAACTTAAAATTTGTTTTTTTTTTTTAAATGACCGCTCGTTTCGCTAGATAAGACCCTTATTCATCGTCTGAAATCGTTTAAAGCCCTTTGAACAGTTTGCAGTTTGCACTGAAACTGTCTTTTGGACCTTGAACCGTTTGGACCCCATTGAAGTCCATTATATGGAGAAAAATCCTGGAATGCTTTCATCAAAAACCTTCATTTCTTTTTGACCGAAGAAATAATGACATGGACATTTTGGAAGTAAATTATCAGCAAAAGTTTTTTCAGAAGTGAACTACAGTACTCCTTTAAGTCTCTGACTATCTTAAGTAGGACTACACTGAAATGCATTCTGGGTAAAATTAGACACTTTTCAAAACAAAAAAAACATGCCGGATCGAGTAAGCGCATTCATCCGCTCAGTGCAGTTTACCTCAGCAGAAAATATGTGTTTGTTGGAGGAGTATAACAGTTACAAGGACGTTTTACTTGGGAAATTTAGCGGAGAATGTAGTAACAAGAAGAAATGTTTAATTTGGAAAGGGCCATTTTCCCTTATCTTTCGGCTGTTTGTACAGTTAACTGATTGTCACTGTATGTCGCATAGTAGTTAACAGTCTTAGACCCAAGTTAGCCTGGGGGAAAGCTGTTTAATTTGTTTGGTCTAAATTAAGTCAGTCTTTATTTTTGTGAAACAGTCTTGCATTAGACTAGTCTATGAGCAAATCTTAGACTTGTCTAACACTATACACCGGTCTAAAATAGCTTTGTGAAACCAGCCCCAGATGCCATGAATTAACTAAACCCCTAATACTGGTAATTATGATGTTTATAAATATAAAAACTAAAGGTAACACTTTAGTTCCCGGTCCAATTCTCAGTTGCTTACAGTATTAGCATGCATATTCCTAGGATATTGGCAGTTTATTAATACTTATAAAGCACATATTAATGCTGTATTCTGCATGAACATATTCTACATCCCTTAATCACCCAATACCTAAACTTAACAACTACCTCACTAACTATTAATAAGCAATAATTAGGAGTTTACTGGGGTAAAAGTTGTTGTTAATAGTGAGAAATGGACCCTAAACTAAAGTGTGACCAAAAAAAAAAAGTATTGTGTTTAATAATAAACTGTTTTTAAAGTGTAAATTAATAACGTTTAACTTGAAAAAAAAAATAAAATAAAAAATATGATTAAATACTTTTTTTAAATAGTAAAATATTGTTAAATAAATATTGTATTGAGTAAAATATGATGTACATAAGTAAAATCATATATAATATTCTATTATGTACATATATGTGAAATATTATAATGATATATTATATAATGTATACAAATATGTAAAATACATTTTTCATATGTTTAAATAAAAACAAATTTGTCTCGCAAAAGTCTTGCATTTTTAGTGGCACGTGGAAGTAAGAACTTCACATATTAACCCAGTTCATTAGGATAAAGAGTCATCAGACTGATTCAAACTGGAAACTTTTAGAGTTTATTTGAGTGATTCATTAAAAAACCTGCATTAGAAGAGTAAATTCTGCACTGGTTACGATGCAAGCAAAGGAAACTCACTGGATATCGGAAAACACTGATGTTGGATATATAAATCACACAGCAGAAACAATCCCGAACGCAACTACAGTATTTACACTGGGGTCCACGTGAATCTGCCTAAAAAGGGTCCTTGTGCTGCACTCCAGAGAATAAACCACAAATAGAAGAAATAAGTTCAAAAGTTCTTAAGGGAGACACCGAAGTCACTAAAATGCGAGGTTTGCTGTCATTAGAGTCGAGTGAGTCATGGTGTGTTCGGCATCATCGTATCCCAACATGCCCACACACACGCGTGCGCTCGGCACAATCAGAGAGCTCTCATTTGAATAGCGTCTCGGGGAGATTATTCATAAGGTTTGTTTGAAGTTCAACGGTTTCCTCTCAGCCATCAGGGAGTTGATTTTCAAAAGGTGGAGAGGCAGCGGAATAAAGAGAAGTGAAAGATTGATTAAACATGCGAGTCTCTGAGGTTGCGCTAAACAAAGATACCTTCTCAATTAGACGAGATTCGCTTTAAGAGCACAATCAGAGAAATTTAGTCTGAAGAGAGGGCCGTTCAGTGCGCTCGCGAGCCGCGCGGGCCTCGAGTTTCTCAGCCGGTCTAAGTCAAGATCGCTAGTGCATCAGCGTTGTCAGCTGAACAGAAACTGAAATATCCTTTTGATATGAACTAAACAAAGCCCAGAGGAAACGCACCAGATTTATTTCAGGTTTAATATGAACGTGCAAATATATTAAAGGACAGGGTTTAAAGGGTTTGTTCACCCAAAAATGAAAATGATGTCATTAATGACTCGCCCTCATGTCCGTCAGACCTCCGTTCATCTTCAGAACACAGTTTAAGATATTTTAGATTTAGTCCGAGAGTTTTCTGTCTCTACATTGAAAATGTGTGTACGGTATACTGTCCTTGTCCAGAAAGCAGAGCCCGTCTAACGGAAAGCCTTGGCACTTCCTATTAGCCCTATTGTGCATTATCTTGGTTGCAGTTCCATTAGAATTCCACTGGAGGTGATCACGGGGCGAGTGCAGAATGAATGGGGGTCTATGGGGCTAAACGGCTAAATGTGTCTCTTTCACCTGCTTGTCGTTAAATCAAAATAGATTTTATTGTTGATTCCGCAAGTTTAATATAGATTATAGGCCAAAAGTCGAATGAGAGTACTTATGTCCTTTTGATTTCTTACAGGTTAGGCCGTTGTTGGCCGGAACACGCTAGCATTCTGCTATTGTGTGACGTCATCACAGTTTTGAACGGATTTTTAGAGCAGATAAGTGAACTTAAAAATGCAAGTGTATTTTCTTAGCCCTCCCTTTTGAATGCAACTTTCAAATTACTTGACAAAAAATTACATCTTGAGAAAAGTGGATTTCTGGGGGTGAAACCCCATTGACTCCCATTCATTCTGCACTCGACCGCGAGCGCCCCCGCATGGACAGAGACGCGTTACTGCAGCCAGTCCAGAACCCGGAAGTAACCAGCCAGTGCCAATTCTCTTCAATTAGACATTCGCTACCAGAAAGGGAATAAAGTAGTCATGTGACATCAGTAGGTTAGTTACAATGTTTTGAAGCATCGAAAATACATTTTGATCCAAAAATAACAAAAACTACGACTTTATTCAGCATTGTATTGTGTATCCGCGTTCAGTGCTTTATTCCCTTTCTGGACAAGGACAGTATACCGTACACACATTTCCAATGGAGGGACAGAAACTTTGTTCTGAAGATGAACGGGCTTGGAATGACATGAGGGCGAGTCATTAATGACATAATTTTCATTTTTGGGTGAGCTATCCCTTTAAGAGGTCTGCGTTGTAGGCTATATGAAATAATGTAATAGTATTTAAGTTCTATTATATTTTACATATATGTGCAAAGTATTTTGTGAAGTACAGCGGTATCCCATAATGCAATGCACCCGACCAAAAGTGCTAATCTGGAGAGATTCTGAACCCATGTTGAACCCGAGTTTAGGTTGGGTTTTTGACTAACTTTAAACCTTTAGCTAAGGTCAGAGAAGTTCAATTTTGGATGAGACTGGAAATGGTAATTGTGTGCCGAGTCACCATGTTTCATAAAAGCAACAGATGCTCCGACAAATCAAACATGTAGCTTGAGATGAAATCACAGAGACTATTCCAATGAACACAAAGAAATGAAACAGGATAATATGGACACGTGTTTTCAGTCGACTCGCCACGGTAAATAAATGTCTTACTTTTCCGCCTTTTCCTTGTCGTATTTACACCTCAGCTCCTGCAGCTCTGTTCGGGCCGAGGTCAGCGCTGTAAGACAGAGACACGGGTGCAATTACTGACCTCTGACCTCATATCAAGCCTCGGATGACCTCAGTGTTTGAGACGGATCTTACATGACTGAAGCGCTTTGATCCGGTCCTCAGCCTGGCCGAGTCTGACAGGCAGTGAAATGTCTGATTCATGTTCCTCCCTGTGGAAACGGAGAGACATCGCAGAGATCAGAACAGGAAGTGACTGAAACCCCCGCTGAGAAATTAGGAAGCCGCCCGCTTGAATGGATCTCTGGAAACCAACAGCTGCTTTCATGTAAACATCTTATTCGCCGTTGGATTACAGTAGCATACTGCTCATTGTTTTTACTGTTTTTTTTTTTGGCATATTCTGTTTTATAAGGGTTATATTTGGTTATTTATTATGTTTTATTGTATGCTGCTTTCTGTATCTGTACAGCACTGTTTGTAAATGTGCTATATAAATAAACTTGACCTTGACCTTGCTCATACTCAGGGTGCGATTTGCCGGGGGGATGCGTGGGATTTACCCGTTTCTGGTCAATGTGTCCCTGCCTCTGCTTAATTAATTTTTTTCCCCCGTCAAAGTGATCAGTGCTACTACACTAGTGGCGAGACGGATGACAAAACTTCCAGTGTGTTACATACCCTTCCTGCGGGTCCTTTTGGAGCGGGGCGTTCTGTGTGCTGTGTGGTGTCATCATGGGCCGCTGAGTCGACGTTTCCCCCGTCTCCACGGTTACAGGCCCCTCCTCTGTGTGATCTAAACACATTTATTTAAATGTTGTAACATTGTAACTAGCCCACATTCTCTTTGGAATGACAAGTGCAACCTAACAGTGTTAAAAATATTTTAAAACATTACATACAATACTGTTTTAAAGTTTGGGGTCAGTATGTTTTTTTTTTTTTTTTTTTTTTTTTTATAAATTACAGTTTTTCTCGATTGTTTACACACATTTCCTGCAAGTATGCCTCATACTCTCAGAACTCTACACACAAATCTAAAAGCACACACACAATCGGCAAAACCCCTCAATTCTAGTGCAAAATGAAACTTTACATTCAAAACAATGTTATATATTCTCAAAATGTTATTTTGTTTTCAAATGACACCCACAAACCATCATATGAATAGACATTTATAAGAACCACTTGAACACTGATGTGCTCAATGTAAAACACTACGATCAATGGAAAACACTTCTTCTCAATTCATCATAATGACTTAGGCCTTTTTTGTTCAGTGTTACACTTACTACTACAGACATTACATACATATGTGTGTTGTAAAATATTTGAGAATATTGTTTTTTATACCCAGAACACACAAATACATGGTAACAAATATATTTATTTTTTCTCACAAACACAATGGGAGATAGATCGCACATTTCATACACCCCAACCAACACAAAGTTGCACATACAGTGGTCTACATACAAAACAACAGAATTTTTTTTATGCTGTTACAGTAAAAAAATAAATAACTATGCTGCATCCTCACTTCGGTTTTGGTATTTTATGCTAAAGCTCTGATTGCTAATTGTCAAACTGTGTGACGGGTGTTTGCCCATGTGACGAGTCAGTGTGCATTTCTGAATGGCAGTGTGTTCCTCGTGAAAACAAGAGATTTTCTCCATGAAAATTGTGCCAAATGCAGAGAATTTGTGTGTAGTGTTTTGAAAAAAGTGTGTTTTAGAAGTGCGATTTGAGTGTAAAACAGGAATTGTGCTTGTAGTTCAGCAGAATTGGTTCAGGGGGTTGGTGAATGAGTTACATGTTGTGGTCATTGTGTCTCAAGTACCAGAAAATGTGTGTAAACAATCGAGAAAAACTGTAAGATTTCAATTCAGCAAGGATGCATTAAATTGATCACAAGTGAAATTAAACACATTAATAATATTACAAAAGATTTCTATTTCAAATTAATGCTGTTTATTAACTCTTAAAAAATGTATTATTATGCTTTCCACAAAAATATGAAGCAGCAGAAATGTTTTTTGAGCAGCAAATCATCCTATTAGAGTGATTTCTGACGGATCATGTGACACTGAAGACTGGAGTAATGATGCTGAAAATACAGCTTTGATCACAGGGAAAAATGACACTATATATTTACATAGAAAACAGTCACAATCACGTTAGTTTGGACTCGTCATCGTCTGCCTTCGTCACTCATTTGTTGTTCATCTGTGCACATCATTATCATGGGGACGGACTCAAAAATAATTCAACAATCAATTCCTAAATCATGAATTGGTTAAAGTTTGAAGTTACATCAGAAATCTATCAAACGCCCCCAGTTAGAGATCAGGCAAATGTCTGCGAAAGTGTTATATTTTACAGTGTGTGTGTGTGTGAGAGAGAAAGAGAGTGTGAGTGTGTGTGTGTGTGTGAGTTTGTCTGTTTGCGTGTGTATGTGGGTGTCTGTATGGGTGTGAATGCGTATGTGTGTGTGTGTGTGTGTGTCTGTGTATGTATGTTGAATCGATGTGAGTGTTTTGTGTCTGTGTGTGCGTGCAGGTGTGTGTATGTGTGTGTGTAGACTCTGACCTGTTTTGTCAAGGCACTTCAGGTGTCTCCTCCAGTTCTCAGAGGTTTCTGTGACCAGAGCATCACCCTCAGGGGCCGGACGCTGTAGATCTGCCAGTCGCTCCTGTGTGGCTTCCAGCAGCGGAGCCGGATCTGTACCAACACACACACACACAAAGAGACATAAAGCTAAATCAGTGTGCGGTTAACTGTGCAAAAACAGCTCCGTTGTCCATAGTCAATAGCGTAGCGATTCATATAGCACCGCTCACACTGAAGTCACTTCAAAAGCAAACAGCTTTCTGTTGGTCGACGTGAATGTGCATGACCAACTTAATTAACATCATCACAATCTGAGGGAAATATTAAACCCTCTAGTGAAACTCCTGATCCTGTGGACTCTTATTGAAATGACCGTCATCATTCCCATTTAAAACATCAGTAACACGTTACAATAAAGTCCCTAAAAGGAGTAGTTCACTTAAAAAAAAAAACTTTTGCTGATAATTTACTCACCCCCATGTCATCCAAGATGTCCATGTCTTTCTTTCTTCAGTCGAAAAGAAATTAAGGTTTTTGATGAAAACATTCCAGGATTTTTCTCCATATAATGGACTTCAATGGGGTCCAAACGGTTCAAGGTCCAAATGAGAGTTTCAGTGCAAACTGCAAACTGTTCAAAGGGCTTTAAACGATTGCAGACAACGAATAAGGGTCTTATCTAGCGAAACGATCGCTCATTTAAAAAATAAGTAACAAAGTTTAAGTTTTACAAGCACAAATGAAACTTTGTTCTGCGATGCACGTTCGTGACTCACCTGTTCGAACTCGTTCATCAAAACGAACGAATCTTTTTTCGAGTCATTTGGTTAATTCAACGAACGAAATGACTCGAAAAAAGATTGATACCCAGTGAACTCCATTATATGGAGAAAAATCCTAGAATGTTTTCATCAAAAACCTTAATTTCTTTTCGACTGAAGAAAGAAAGACGTGGACATCTTGGATGACATGGGGGTGAGTAAATTATCAGCAAAAGTTTTTTTTTTTTTTTTTTAAGAACTACTCCTTTAAATTAACATTATTAAATGCAATTAACTAACAATGATCACTACATTTGCTTAATATTTAAAAAAAATAATAATACATTAGTAAATATTGCAATTAACAAAAACTATTGTTTACTAATGTATTATTATTTTTTTAAATATTAAGCAAATGCTTTAGAAGCATCGCTCATGGTTAACTAAAGCAGTTAACGGATCCTTATTGTCAAGCGTTCCCCAAAAAAATCCCACATCAGACATCAAGCCTAAAAAGCACCAACCTCAGCTGCTTAACTCGCTCCCAAATACTTATCTAGACAAATCCAACAAAGTAGAAGAGGATAAAAAGTCACCCGAAAAAGAAATAGCATATATATGTGTATAAAAAAAGGTGAGATTCTTTAGCACAACAGAGGAGCTGTTTTGCAATGCATGTGTCTCAGTGAGGGGCCCATGGGGCCAACTAGGAGGCTGTTTCTGCGCTAACAAGTCTCCTCTGGATCATTTGATCATTTAAATTATTATGCCAGGAATCCTCAGGAGGCGACTCGGCTCTCCACATCACAGGGCTGTTTTTAATCTTCCGTCTTCCCTTTCTTCCCCTGAAAAAGTTCAGCTCTGCGCGGCTCAGAGAGGAGTCGTGCTCCTGTTGTGTACCTGGCAAAGGAGGTGACTCCCCGAACCGAGGAGGCTCATGGGAGCGGGCTGGCACGGGGAGGGGGGATACAAGTCTTTCAACAACCAAAAGAAGAGGGAAATCGCTTCTTTTTCCTCCACGACCCGTGACGGCTTTCATCCCGCGCGACAGGGGTCCTGATACGCTCACTTTCCCCGACGCTCAACCGGAGCTGCGAAACATCCCTGGAAATGCGCGGACAGAAGACGTTTCCTCCGACCGAATCGGGGTCAGACGTGGAGGCCGCGAGGGCGTATTTAATAACTCGGCATGCGAGACTTTATAAATGCAGAGCGCATGCACGTGTGCGCTTTGTTACAAAAGCACGGTGGATATTGCGTCAGTCACTCGGGACACTGCTTTTAAGAGTAGTATAACTCCTTTTACACAAAGACAACGGATTAAATCAGTGCGCTCTATTGCTTTCTTTTAAGTTCTAATGATCAAACCCTTCAGGCTTTATTCTCAAACGCAACCAGAGATTCTCCTCAATCAGAGGAACTTGACGCATTTGTGAGATGGCAGAAATCGCATTATGGAAGCCACTGAGATATTAAAGTGTGTGTTTGTGCATCTGAATGATGTCGGGATGCATCTGGATTAAAATGTACTGGGAAGTGATCAAACCGGAGACATATTGCATGTGGCTTCTGCTTAATTTCCAGGGAAAGACACCAATAACACAGTATCAGAAGGGATGTTTCTTTGCACACGTACCAAAGCAAAACATTTGATATTTTTTCCTGGCATGGTCCCATAGTATTTCAGTTGATATTCTAGGAAAGACCATGAAGTTCAGTACTAGTGAAAAAAATGAATTTCAGTACCATGGTAAGTTTCAAAATAACTTAGGATTACCATCTGATTTTTGGATGGTACTTTCAAAATTCATGGGCTACAACAGCAGAAGACCCCACCGGGTACCACTCATCTCCACTACAAATAGCAAAAAGAGGCTACAATTTGCAAGAGCTCACCAATAAGACTGGAAAATGTCGCCTGGTCTGATGAGTCTCGATTTCTGTTGAGTAGAGTCAGAATTTGGCGTAAACAGAATGAGAACATGGATCCATCATGTCTTGTTACTACTGTGCAGGCTGGTGGTGGTGGTGTAATGGTGTTGGGGATGTTTTCTTGGCACACTTTAGGCCCCTTAGTGCCAATTGGGCATCGTTTAAATGCCACGGCCTACCTATGCTTAATTTCCAGGGAAAGAAACCAATAACACAGTATCAGAAGGGATATTTCTTTGCACACGTACCAAAGCAAAACATTTGATATTTTTTCCTGGCATGGTCCCATAGTATTTCAGTTGATATTCTAGGAAAGACCATGAAGTTCAGTACTAGCGAAAAAAATGAATTTCAGTACCATTTCAAAATAACTTAGGATTACCATCTGATTTTTGGATGGTACTTTTGAAATTCATGGGCTACAACAGCAGAAGACCCCACCGGGTACCACTCATCTCCACTACAAATAGCAAAAAGAGGCTCATCAAAAAGACTGGAAAATGTCGCCTGGTCTGATCAGTCTCGATTTCTGTTGAGACATTCAGATGGTAGAGTCAGAATTGTATTGGATCCATCATGCCTTGTTACCACTGTGCAGGCTGGTGGTGGTGGTGGTGTAATGGTGTTGGGGATGTTTTCTTGGCACACTTTAGGTCCCTTAGTGCCAATTGGGCATCATTTAAAGGTAACACTTTATTTGAAGGGGTGTGCATTAGACTGACATGACACTGTCATAAACATGAAGTCATAAACACTGTCATTAAAAAGAGTCTTTATGAATGTTGTCATTAAGTGTCATTCGGTAAATTATGACACTTTTAATGCAAAGCTGACATTGTCTTTGCTATGACAACTTGACAAAAGTTTAATCCAACACAAAAAAAAAAAATCCAAAATGTATTTTTTATGACAACTTGACATTAACCAAGAAATCATAACTAGTCCAACGTGTTCCACTTTACTTGAGGTAAGGGGAAATATTAATGACACTGTTGTTAAAGCATTTGACAGTGTAATAACCCTTAATAACCCTTAATGACATCTTTATAACTAGTACAATGTGTTCCACTTTACTTGAGGACAAGTAAAATATTAATAACACAGTTATAATTGTGTCATGATGGCCAAAGTCAAAACCAACCACATATGACAGGAGAATGTAATGTTAACACAAAGCTAAATAACTTCTTTAAGTTTGATAATTAGACCTGTTATGACATATTTGTGACAGGTTATGATTTCTTGGTTAATGTCAAGTTATCATGACAAAGACATTTTAAACAATATCAACTTTGCATTAAAAGTGTCATAATTTACTGAATGACACTTAAAAGTCATAAACAAAATGTTTATGACAGTGTCATGTCAGTCTTATGCACACCCCTTCAAATAAAGTGTTACCCGTTTAAATGCCACGGCCTACCTGAGCATTGTTTCTGACCATGTTCATCCCTTTATGGCCACCATGTCCCCATCCTCTGATGGCTACTTCAGCAGGATAATGCACTATGTCACAAAGCTGGAATCATTTCAAATTGGTTTCTTGAACATGACGATGAGTTGACTGTACTAAAATGACCAGATCTCAACCCAATTGAGTATATTTGGGATGTGGTGGAACGGGAGCTTCGTGCCCTGGATGTGGGCAATATGGGTCAACATTTCTGAAGAATGCTTTCAGCACCTTTTTGAATCAATGCCACGTAGAATTTCAGTTCTGAAGGCGAAAGGGGTCAAACACAGTATTAGTGTGGTGTTCCTAATAATCCTTTAGGTGAGTGTACATCATAGCAGTACCATAGTAAATCCTGAAGTCCATGAATTTCAGTATCTTGGTATATTACCTTATAATGTACCATAAAATGACCATAAACCATCATTCTATCATGATACAGGCAAAGCTTTTTTTTTTTACATTTATGTACCATAGTATATATATGGTACTCCAAGGTCCTTAAAAAATCATGCTTTTTTGACAACAGGTTATTAAAAATGTAAATACCATAGTATTCATATATAATACACCACCCAAAAATGAAGATTCTGATGCTCATCATTTACCAAAGGAAGTCAAAATAATTATGTACAGGATTAATTATGTATAATAATTATACAGAATGTCCAAGTAGCACAAATAATTCAATTAATTGTGAAATGAATAATTTAATAATAATTACTTTTTTGGGGGGAAATATATATTTCATCTTATACTCCACTAATTAGTAAATATGATGTCTATGGAGGTAACACTTTGGAAAAATCCGTTTTCGTCGCATGTTAATTTGTTTCCCCCCATACAATATGATGTCAGATCTGCAATACTAAAATAACCATCATTCTGTCCAATTTGCTTTGTGCTGTAAAGTTTATTCATGTTGATTATGGCGGCTATTAGAGAGTGCCAAACATATCCTATCA